AATCGTGTAAAAATTGTAAACATGGGAGCTTTACATGGTGGTGTGTATTTTGAAGGACTGAGATAATTATTTTGGCACATACTGTTTGTTAAACATTCTCTGAAAATTGACCCAGTTGCATTCATATTTGAACACCCCTGGTAGTAATGAGTTTCAACAAAAGATTTAGTAACCATTGAAGTGTTATGTCTAAAACCTGATGGATGTCCAGTGCTCTTTTCATGAAACATAATGTCTTCAACAATGGGTAGTCCAGTGCTCTTTTCCTGACTTGTAGAGAAGTTGTAAGTAACTTAATGTTAAAATAAAGCTACAAGCCTACAACAAAATAGGGGGTTAATTTCATTGACAATCTGAAGAAAACAAGATCAGATTTAAAGTCCAAGCCCCCAGGTTAAGGGATTTTATAAAATCTGAGGGCTTGTGATGATGTTTATAAATAAACCATGGTGTATTAACATTATTCTTGCATAAAAGTATGTCTGATTCGGTAATTCCGCGATTTGTTTTCAATTTAAAGAAACTGGTTTCATTATAAATGCATTTCATGTGCATGTGTGTTGTCATGTGACAACGGAAGCCTGCCATTTCAGTTAGCTATTTTTACATGACCACCTGTGTCACGCATATAAAATGTGTAACAGTGGCATGTGCTTGTGTGGTTTTATCTGTTAATGCACATGTTTTCATCAATGTTATTGTACACCTGCGTGCCCAGTTTTTAAGTTTATATATTACCTGAAATTTTAGTATTGTATAATGGGATATTAATAATTATAAAGGTAGTTAAAATGGGTGTTCTGTAATACTGTAATAGATTATTGCAAACAAGTAATTAGTTATGTTATGTTTATCTGGAATTTGTTGCAACAGTTCTTATGTATCGGAGATCTGGAAATTAAAACTTTGAATAATTTATATTTAAAATCTTTCTATCAATCTCACAGTGGTGTTATTCAACCCCTCTCGGGGGAAATAGACATAAGGTACATGTGTAATGATTATATGAATTATTTAATTACAATGTGCAATAATTTAGGAATTGTCATTTCTATACATTTCTATATAATGGAAAGAATTATGGTTGAAATTAAAAGTAAATATGATCTTGTAATTATGAAATTGGCATCTAACAGGAACATTGGCAAAGGGTGGTTTTCAATGGTACAAATTACTTAATTTTTCCCGCAAATTACAATTATGAAAAAATATTACATGTATTGATTTATAATACTTGAGTAAAGATTTTAATTTAGGTGTCTGCCATCCCGTTAATAACATGCCTGTTAAAATGCTAACTTAAGTATAAAGCTCATAGGCCTTTGCTCCCAAAACAAAATTATATTTTTCGCTGCTCATATATTTTATTTCATGTAAATGAGTAATGTGCCATATCAACTGTTACATGTGTTCAGTGTGACAGTCTAGTATTATTATTCAGACGCGGAACCTATATTAAGGACAAAAATAATAATGTACTATGTCAATTTTTACCCTGATGCAGTTGTTCATGGACTGATTAAACTTTTTGAGCAGTATAAAAGTCGACTGCAGTATCAAAATATTAAATTGATTTGTAGTCTGGCCTGGTTCTAAAAGTTCCGGTGGCATTAGGTCTGGTATTATTACTGCTTATCTTTAAATAGTTATATACATATATACATGAAATGTTTTAGAATTCGGTGGTTAACCAACTTGCAGTAATGTATCACCAGAAGGTAACAAAGGGCGTTAGTATATCACTGCTTCGATGAATTGATGAATTCGGTCAGTTCAAATTTCATGTGACATATCATCAATCCCTCGGGGGTATTTAATGTTATTAAGCAATCAGGGAAAATCAGTTGGTTCAATGATGTTTACTTTAATTATTGATGAAATACATCACTGACAAAGAATTGTTTACATAGAAATTACTAGTGATGACACAATTCAAATTAAACATTATCAAAGAAATGACGTATTGAAACGTGTATAGGTGATGTTTTTATTTTATAGTCACCTCCAAATGGGAACACACTGCAATTAGTAGGCAATGGTACATTACAGTGATTACTCGAGATCTATTCCAGGAGAAACAAATGACTCTTATACATGCAACAATTTAAAGAGCAAGGGGTTGGGGGGTGTTGAAGGGGGATGGCGTTGGGGGATTAGGATTTTATTATACATGTTATAATATGCCTTTGCCTTCAATATGTCATTTTTCAGATTGATTTTAATCATCTGGAAGTTTTACTTTATTTTTTTTTATTCTATCAATGTTATGATATTTTGTGACATTTTTATCAAGGTTGTTGATTTCAAACTTGACTTGACCCTTACTGCTATGGGTTGGAATCCTGCAAAGGACTTTGGATTCTTTGATATGAGAAAGCTTTCCAGCAAGCTTACAGAATGTCTGTGGTTCTACTCAGGTGCCCATTCATACCGGAAATAATACACAGAAGGGCACCTAAGGTCTTCCTCCACCAGTAATTTGAGATGGAAAGGTGCCATATCACCTGTTCAGTGTTGGTGACACATTAACCCCCACCTCCCCCAAAAAAACCAAAACATTTGATAAATCTTTTTGCATGGCGGCTGGCATAAATAAATTGGTGATCAACATTATGAAATTAAAGGGCATTTTCATCATAGATATAAAAAAATCCCACTTTTTATTACTCTTTCAATTTATTGGAAGTGTACAATTACTGTTGTTCACCTACATTATGGTTATTACAAAATTTAACTGTTACAATAGTCCAAAGTTCTCAGATACAAAGTAGTCCCTGTGTTTACAGAGTATGAATTGATGCTTTCAGAGCCGCGTACAGTTTGATATAAGACTCTGTAAATATTTGCATAATAATCAAATTCCATAGATAGTAAATATTTATTTTGTCATTCGTTATACCTAATTGATATTTATCTAACAAAATTAGCTGCAGACGTCAATTATTTCCTGCCAGTTTATGTTCCCACAATGCATCATGCAATATTTAACATGTGGTCTATAATTACTCTGAACAAAGTCTTAAAATTGATGATAGATCACTGTAAAGCAATTTATATTTTGTCACAATTAGGAACGTCTATTAAATATGTAGCATCTTTGTACTGAATAACCTGTTGGCTCATGTGGAACGGAACAATAATATCTTGTTCTTAGAGTGATTCGTTGATACAGTTGCAAGTGTTAGCCATCGACTTGCCATATTTTTTCAATTTTTCTGTTGTAACATTAAAAAAACAAAATTATGGTCCCATTTTTTCTTAACCAAGTTTCAACATCGTTTTGTACATGAATTCATTTGTCCCAGTGAGCCTATATATACAGTTCAATGTGTGTAATCCTTTTATTCCGAAAACTGTATCATGTCTTGATGACAGGATTCTACACATTGATTTGGTGGAAAACTAGGAAAATAATTCTTAGATTTAAGCGCTTAATAGTAATAGGAGATCTTATTGCTGAAAAAAAGTTAAACATTTTTGAGTAAATTCTAGCAGATTAAGACTTCATGATATACTTTTAGCTACTGACCAATCTCATCTTTTTGATATTGACAGAAAACCCATTGAATTGAAAATGGATTGTTCAAAATTCTAATTCAGAAAGATTTAATAGCGTATGTTTTGTTTATGTCAACTTACTTCAATCACAGTAACAGATGAACCCAAATGGGTGTTACCAGTTAAAATGTTTTATAAAAGAATCATATCGTACCAATGTGTGTGTTTTTTAAATACAGGTTTTCAAGTGCATGTTAAACATTTGAGCTGGACGTTCACTTACAGTACGTTTTTTAAAGTGGAGAGTATCAAATACTTGTAGACTTATGATATTAATATAACAGGGTGTATACATCACCTAAATATGACATCTAGTTAATGTTTTTCAAGACTTGTGTTTATTTATCACAAGTTGTACCTAAGTGCCGTTAAAACACGCATGTAAAATTTGAATGATCTATGGATTAATTTCAATACACTTTATTGATAATATTATATACGTTAGTTATAATATTTTAATACCATATTTTACACTGGATTTAAGTAATTTCTATGTTTGGAATGTAACATTCCCTTTTAAAGCAGTGAACTTACTGCTTTTCACCACTTATTATAATATTATAAGTAAATTTAAGACCTATTTTTTCTTGAAAACTTAAAAATTGTCATGATAAAAAGTAATGATGTATATCTGAAATTGTTTCTGACATAAAATGGCAAGGAACATAGATATTTTTAATGGACTTTATTAAAAAAAGACAAATGAATGTCAAATTACTGATTGCGTCAATTACCGTAAGCAAGCAACTTTCTCATTGGTCACCATATGATTTCATGTATGTTTTATAAACAGAAATGATTGAGTATTGTACTAATGTGTAATATACACATATGATAAGTTGATATTTATCAGTTTGTGAAGCACCTTAATTCTTACAAAGTCAGTTTATTCATTTTTACTTAGTTTTATGTACACATTACATTTGAAATCATCCTGTTACAGATATTGTAACATTTCATGCAATTATCATTACATTTAGTACACTTATCATAACATTTAGTACAATAATCATAACATTTAGTACAATTATCATAACATTTCATGCAATTATCATTACATTTAATACAATTGTTGCTACATTTTGTACAATTATATTTATAAATTTTCATACAATTATCATTTTATTTCATACAGTTATCATTACATTTCATACAGTTATCATTACATTTCATACAGATTTCATAATATTTCATACATTTTAGCATAACATTTTGTGCAGTAATCATTACATTTTATATCCAATTATCATTACATTCATACAATTATCATTAAATTTCATGTAGTTATCATTAAATGTTCATGCAATTAGCATTACACTTCATGCACGTATCATTACATTTCATATCCATTTATCATTATATTTAAAACAATTATCATTACATTTCATACAATTATCATTAAATTCCATGCGATTATCATTAAATTTTCATACAATTATCATTACAGAGGTGAATGAGCATAGAAGAATGGCACCAGATCCAGAAAGCTACTATTTTCAGCCTAACCAGAAAAAGAAGTAAGTTGAAATAAATATGAGCTATGCATTGGTTTGTGTTTCTTTGTCAGCATTTTTGTTAAATTTGTTGGGCTGCTTAGCTGTGCAACAAATATAATGGAATTAATGCTGACCTCATGAATACTTACCTTTGTGAAATTATGTTTTGAATCTTGATACAAAGTGAGTACAATGCTGAGTTAATGGGATCATATTCAGTGAAAAGTTTGATTAAATTAAATGTACTTTAGGATTTTGTAAAACAAAAATTTATTGGTCCAAAAAAAAAAAATGTAATTTCAACTACTAAGTAGTGGTTTGCGTTACAATCACCATGTGAATCCTGTTAGTGTTACACAGGAATGGGAGTGTGAAAAAATAATCAAGTAATTGTGCAGTAATAAGAACAAAATCTTTGCAGTAGAGTGTTATGTTTTTGTGCGGAAGTTGGTATCTCCAAAACTACTTGAGGGAATAGGTTGAAACTTCACACACTTAGTTTAGAGCATTGTAGGAGGTCACTATCCAAGGCCCATAACTCTTACACAGATTTTATCATAGAATTATGGCCCTTCTGAACATAGAGAATTCTTCATTACCCAGGCTCTTGTTTTACTATCAAGCACTGAGAAAAGTTGAGCAAATAGCTCTTATTGTAAATACAATTGAGAGAAGTTAATGAGCACATAAATGGTGGCTAAGATGCTTTATTTCAGCTGGCATGACAAATATTTTTAAGGAAAGTGGTAACTTTTCAAGATTATTGGTTAGAATGACAACCTGGCAACTGCATTGGAGACTACTTTTGCCCATAGGATATTTGAAAAAAAAATTTACTTCAGAAACTTCTACTTGTATACATTTTGTATTATTTCATTTCAGATCCTTGTATGTATTTGTATTAATCCATTTCAGATCCTTGCCACATTATGATACCTCCGAGGAAGCCTTGTTAGATGAAATAGAGAAAGAATTTGATTTGTGATAAATTGTTAAATCATTCCAGATTATGACATCATTCTTTGCCTACCATAATGACATCATTCTTCGCCTACAATAATGACATCATTCTTCGCCTACAATAATGACATCATTCTTCGCCTATGATAATGACATCATTCTTCACCTATGATATATTACTCTCATAGTCAATCATGATATTTCATCAATTTTAATTTTTTATGACATATCATTGTTTTGTTTGTTATTTTAAAATTTATAATATGATTTCAACGTATGAATATATGTATGGTATGTAGTATCATGAAATTACAATATCTAATTAAATGAATCATGAAATAACAATACCTGATTGAGGTATCAAAATGAAGGATAATTGTAATTGAAGTTGGATACAGAGGACAGGTCAGGATATCACAAATGATGTATATTTTATGTATATAAAAATTGATATCATGTCCAGATAGTGATATCATTTTCAGTGTAGGATATCAAACAGAATAATTACATGATATAATGACATAGATTATGATATCATTATCAATGTATGATATTGTATACAATATATGATATCATTAACAGGATTATGATATCATTATCAAGGCATGATATCATATACAATATTTGTTATCATGAACTAGATTATGATATCATTATCAATGTATGATATCATATACAATATATGATATTATGAACTAGATTATGATATCATTATCAATGTATGATATCATACAAATATAAATATGATATTATGAACTAGATTATGATATCATTATCAATGTATGATATCATACAAACAATATAATATCAAGAATATCCCAGTATGGGATAAACTGTCTACTTATTACAGCATGTATTTAGTGATGTATATATTGATATCATGAAATACCATGATATTGTCTGTGTGTGATATCATTGTACAGAATGTGATATGATGGCAGCCATAGTTATGTACATTGTGATTATACCATACCATGATATTGTACATGTATATAGTATACATGTATATGGTATCAGGTATATTTGTCATGATACATTTTTAACTGTGATATCAGACATTAAACCATGATATTATGAGTGATATCAGGAAAATCTGTGTTATTTTATGATTTAACAGTATGTATTTTTAAGGTTATACCATATTTAATAGCTAGGATATCATGTTTTAACACTCTAAATGTTCTGATATAAAGATTTTTTTATTTTAAGATACCATCTTTGTTAGCACAAAGATAACAACTTTTTTTATGTGAAATATTGCAGTCAACTTTGATCTTTAATTCCTATCTTTCAAATTGTTTGATTTATTTTAGGCATTATGTAATGATTGTCACAGAAATAATAAATTTAATATGTAAGTTTTAAGACAGGTCTAAATGTTTGTATATATTATTATACAGTTAGATAATTATAATATTTAGTATAATAATGGACTGGTGGAGAATTTTTTTTTACAGAATCAGAATGTGATATATTTTTGTATAAAGTAAGAACAATTTTAATAGAAAATCAGAGTAGCCTTAGTCATCAGTATTTTTGATTTTGAAATCCCTAACATTTAGATAAACTGTTCAATATTCAGAGCTTGGCAAATCCATTATACAAATAAAGGCATACTTACCATGGTTAACGCATAATAATTTGTACTTTAAGTCAGGGGAACAAATATTTTATAAATTGGTGATATTTTGTTTTTAGCCAGTAGATTTATTTTATTGGTATTGAAATATATATATTCATAATTAATGACCATAATGGCATGTGATATGAACAAACTGTTCTAAAATTCTCTTGTGTTCTGTATATTTGTATTCTGATTTATTAGTCCCCTACCGGTTTACCGGAGGGGACTTTAGGTTTACCCTCCGTCCGTCTGTCCGTCCGTCTGTCTGTCCGAGCCAACATTTGATTATTATGAGCTTCATTCCGTAGTTAAATAAAGAACATAAACTCATAAAATTTAAAATTAAGAGCTATTTTTTGTTTTTATGAGCTTATTTTGCTTATGGACGTTGGTCCAGGTGGTGTTTATGAGCTCATTTGCCTCATAAACATCAAATTTTGGTACGTCCGTCCGTCAGTCCGTCCGTCCACAAAACTGGATCCCGCGATAACTTGAAAAGTACTGAAAATATTTTTATGAAAATTGGTATATGGATAGATGGCAGTCTTGGAATTATGCACGTCTTTTTTTTTTCTTCCTATGTTGAAAATTCTGGTTGCTATGGCAACAAATAGGCTAAAAATATGGCAAATTTTACACATAAACTGGATCCAGTGATAACGCAAAAAGTACTGTAAATATTTTTATGAAACTTGACATATGGGTAGATGGCAGTCTTGGAATTATGCACGTCTTTTTCTTTTCTTCCTATGTTGAAAATTCTGGTTGCTATGGCAACAAATAGGCTGAAAATATGGCAAATTTTACACATAAATAACGCAAAAAGTACTGGAAATATTTTTATGAAACTTGACATATGGGTAGATGGCAGTCTTGGAATTATGCACTTCTTTTTCTTTTCTTCCTATGTTGAAATTCTGGTTGCTATGGCAACAAATAGGCTGAAAATATGGCAAATTTTACACATAAACTGGATCCAGTGATAAAGCAAAAAGTCCTGGAAATATTTTTATGAAAACTGACATATGGGTAGATGGCAGTCTTGAGATTATGCACGCCTTTTTCTTTTCTTCCTATGTTGAAAATTCTGGTTGCTATTGGCAACACATAGACTGAAAATATGGCAAATTTTACACATAAACTGAATCCAGTGATATCTCAAAAAGTACTGGAAATATTTTTTATGAAACTTGACATATGGGTAGATAGCAGTGTTGAGATTATACATGTCTTATCTGTTCTTCCTATTTTTGAAAAAATATCAGTTGCCTTGGCAACAAATAGGCTTAAAACATGGCAAATATAACAATAATTTGTGATTAGTCAAAAAGAGCTGAAAATTTTTATGAAATTGCATCTTTATTTCAAGAGTTATCTCCTCTTTAAGAATTTTGCTTTTAAAATGTTATATTTTGGTAACAGGGATGTTTCAAATATTAACTTTAGAGTGTCCTTCAGTCCGTCTGTCTGTTCATAAAAACTGTTTCCTGTGATCACTTTTAAAGAACTTTTCCAACAAGTTTACTTAAAATAGAGAAAAATTGAAACATTAGTGAATGGCCAATGGCCCTTCAGAATGTTGATGGGGTTCTAACCGGTAGGGGACTTATGGATTGCTTGCAATACTATGATAATTGCTTGTTTATTTTAATTGTTGCTCTGTGACAAGAAGGAAACTTTGTAAAGCATTTTATTTATTGTTTAGTGATTGTAATTATTTATTTAAGTTACACAATTTATGTAAATAATGGTTTAAGAAAATTATATATCAGGGACAAATTTTGTGGTAAAAAACTACAGGTCTATTTTCTCAACACAATTCATTGTTAATAAAAAATTAGAAACCATGGGAACAGAAATTGCTCAAAGTGCATTCATCAGGTCATTGTCAATAATAACTTTTATTTCCAATAATTTCTTACATTATACTTGTCCTTTCTGTCAAGATAAGTTTGGAAGTGGTTTTATTTTGTGATTTTTTTCTATGTAAGGAAATTGTGTAAAAAAAGACAAAACCAATCCAATTGTTTCCGTTGTAATATTTCAAACTATGTGCTGAATATGTATATATGCTTTACTTTGTATATGTAAATGAAATTTGGGATAAACATGAACTTGACTTTACATAAAGGCAATTGAAAGGAAAAGTTTTTTTTTACTACTTTCTGTGTTAAGATATGAAGCAGCATATTGTTTGACCAGTGATTATTTCCTGTTCAAATTTATTAAAGGTGTACATTTGAGAAACTGTACTCTATGTGTCTGCCACACCTAGCGAAATATTTTGACATCTATCTCACTTTTAAGCTTTTGTGTCTCTATTTTAAATTACATTTAAGATTTTATTTAGTAATATTTTCTTTTTCTTTTAAGTTTGACTATTTTATAATGTTGAAAAAGTTCTACATGAATAAGTTTGAACAGTTATTTGAGAAATAATATTTTGTTCTAGAACAGTTTTTATCTGTTATATGAAGATTACGATGTAAGATTTGTAAAATTTGATCATGTATCTGACACAAACAATATCCATATATAATTCTTTTGGAGTTTGTATTCATGTATTATGTAAACTCTATCAACATAATTGTTAATGATATATTAAAATAAAAAGCAGCCATGTTTTTTTATGTTAATCCCAATTTTCAGTTATTTCCTTTGCTTAACTAGATGTAGATTTTTTTTATTTATTTATTTATTTACCTCTTTAGAGAGGAAAATTTACTTGTTACACTGTCCCTTATTTATCAGTTTGCAGCACCTTCTTGACAGTATCTTTGAATTATTTCCAGATTTCAACGAAACTTTGTTATGAATATTAAGTGTTGTTCGGATGAAATGTTTATTGATGTCCAAAAAAACTGCTTTTTACATTTGCAAACCATTAACATTCCATTCTATTTATAGTACGAGAGCATGATGTGTTATTTTAAACAAATCATTTCATTATCATAAAAATGTTGCCTCATTTTCAATTAATTTTAACCTCTGACCTTTCATGCAATTTTCACATGTATACAAGTTTGTAGGTAAAAATCCTTATTCTGCACATTTTCAAGGTCACAATTTAGTTCTGAAGGTCACATAATCACCTAACAAGGTTACATTTATGACATTGTCATAATCTTCAAGGGCGTATGACCACAAATCAGGTTCATATTATACTGTCTTCACTTTTTAAAAGTCACATGATCACAGCAATACTGTCCTCCATTTTCAAAGGTCACATGACCGCAAATCAAGTTCACATTATACTGTCTTCACTTTTTAAAAGTCACATGATCACGGCAATGCAAAAACTTATATAAATCTCAAGTAGAAAAAGGTTAAACAATGGAGTTATCTCCCCTTATGTGTAAGAGAGAAATTGATGAATAATTTTTTAAGTGAGATATGGTTTAAAAATTACTTTTTGTTTAAAAACCATTTTAATTTCTAAAAAACAAAAATCACTAAATCTAAAGAATTTTGTATTTATTTTTCAGTGTTTTAAGTATTTATAATGTACATAATTATAATGTACAAGTTTTCTGTGATACATCAGATATCATAGTATTGATATTTGAGCCGCGTCACGACAAAACCAACGTAATGCGTTTGCGACCAGCATGGATCCAGACCAGCCTGCCCATCCGCGCAGGCTGATTAGGATCCATGCTAATCACTTACCAACCCTTTTACAAGTATAGAAACTTAAAGCGAACAGCATGGATCCTGATCAGACTGCGCGTATCGCAGGCTGGTCTGGATCCATGCTGGTCGCAAACCCTTTATGTTGGTTTTTTTTTGTCATGACACGGCTCATTTATTTTCATAGTTACAAGTTCAGGAGAACATGGTTATTTTACTATAAGTATCTCTAAATTCAGCCAAGAAATATTATTACTTATCTTGTATTGACTAAACCCTTTAACCTGTGATAAGCCTTTGCCACAGGTATATAGCCAGGCCAGCCTACACATCTGTGAAGTCTTACTTGAGGACTGTTGGTAACTCTAATATTTGTATTTTGATATTGAAATCCCTTGAATTTTTAATGTACCTTTCAACTTAAAAGCTGGGCAAACCCATTACAAAAAAATTTTAGGTTTAGAGTTAGGGTACTTAAAGATATACTATGCTCAAATTTGATAGAAGAAAATATTGATAATTGCTATATAGTCTTTTTGTAAATACACATGTATAAAATAAACAGGTTTTGACTTCACACAAAGTAGATCTGTTATGTTTAAAATTCTACACACTATAAGGTATTAATATAGTGTCATCAAAAAAAAATGGCAGTAGAAAGGACCAACTTTTCTTGACTTGTAATAGGAAACACAGCTTCCCATACATAATTATTCATTCTTTTATTCAAATTAGACATATTCAGTAAGAATTTCTGTGATTAAAATATTTTAGGGGGTTTTAGGATGATCAGAGTATATCTTTAACATTTTGTGATGTCACTTTTCATTGGATAAAAGAGAGATTCACAAAACCAATAACCAATGCTGTAAAATTTATGAAGCAATTTTTATTTTTCCGCAAATGAATAGTTGTAAGTTTTGAGAAGAAAAATATTTTCTCTGTATTGTACCACTGAAAATGTGAAAAATAAGAAAAATCCAGGATTTGGATAGATAGGCTAAGCATAAATTTGATTAGGTAGGCCAAGTGTAAATCATATAATAATAAAAATTGTGATAACTATTGTAATAAAAAATGATATATCATTTACATGTATATAGAATTATATTCAGAAACCACCTGCCGTACTGTGATATGTTTTGTTGTGTTTTCGTTTTTCTGTCCAATATTTTGCCATTTTCTATTTATTTTGATAAAAAGAGTTTTATGTTTAAAGCAAACGATATTTGAAATGTTTACACATTGCAATTGGTGTGATGATCAGTCTGTCCACATTTTATACACTGTTGAAACAAAATAAAACTATTTATTAAAACTGATGGACCTTTCTTGTTGTAATTGTTATACCCTTACCATTTTTGTGTTGCCAGCTTCAGAAAAAAATGCATGGAGAAACATCCAATTTCTTCCTCTCCATCAATCAAGCTGTAAAGTTACCATTACTATAATTATTCTATCGTGAATGTACCATATCAACACAATCCTGTTTTGGTAATGATTTTTGGACAACAACAAAAATCTGCTTAACTAGTTTGTGCTTGCTGGTAAAATAAGTCTGAATAATGTGAATTCATTCAAAATCCATGCTACGTATCATGGTTTAGAACTGTTCACTGTGTAAGTAGGTATGTGAAAGTGGCTAAATAGCTCAAGTCAGTACAGCTTTCTAGGATCCTTGGTTCAAGTCCCAGGCATGCTGCAGATTTTTCTCACCCAGTGACATTTGGTTCCCATTGTAGGGCTCAGTTTAAATCACATTTGTCTGTAACTGTGAGAAATTCCATTGGCAAATATCAGTAAAGCGGGGAAGAATGAAATAGTTTAGAATTATTTAGGGAAGATGTGTAAGAAGCCGGATAGCTCTGGTAGAACCAATGGAACTGTATTCCAAGGGACCAAATTCCAAGTCCATTCATGTTGGCACATTTTTCTCACCCTGTGACATACAGTTTCGGACCTTGAATAGTGACATATTATTACGATTACAAAGACATATGTGAAGTTTCAAGAGAAAACCTTCTTTAGCTTTGACCATTGATATTCAACCAGGATTTTTCCAAGTTCAGAAAGGGCTATTATTCAGTCAAATCCATGCTAGAGTCACCAAAGATCTGGCAAAGAGGATATAAAATATATGACTATAGAGGTGCTATACATTTAAAATATTTATTTCATCATGCCATGTTTAATAAATTAATGTGATTCAATGAGTTTTTAACACATTTCATGTTAATGAATATCAATTCAGTTATGTATGAGTATGACTGTATAGTATCAATGTAATAAATGTTAACATTTCATATATTTAATTAACCAGGTCCCTTAACCCACTAAATATCTTAAATGGACTTGTCTAACTTTCAATCTGGGCAAAACCATTTATTATTTTTAGGTAAATTTTCAAATTAAGTACAGACTGATAAGCAAACTATCTACCCAAGTGACCAGTGCAGGGCATGATCTTTGTATACAAGGGTCACATAGGTAGAACCTGTTGCTGTCAGCAAGCTAAAGATTAAGGACTTCGGAACTTTAACAGAAGTATGCACACTGCCATAATAGTTCTTTATCAAAGAATAATGTCACATAGGAAAACATGCTCTTACATGACAATAATGTACCAAAAATACATGTAGGTTAACATAAAAAAGAACTATGGAACAAAAAGTGAATCGCCTTTGCCAACAGTTTAGAGCCAGCCCAGCCAAATTTTGTATTTTTGAAACTATAGAACAAAAAGTGAATGGCCTTTGCCAACAGTATAGAGCCAGGCAAGCCAGATTTTGTATTTTTGATAATAAAATCGCTTAAACTTTGAATGGACAATTCCAGATTCAATGCAGGACAAAACCACTTATTCAGCAGGTAAAATGTTAAAGGAATCCCACCGAAGTCCAAAAAAACTTAAAATCTTACACAGATCAGCTGAGGTACATGAAACAGAAAGAGCAAATGAAAATATAAATGTACTCGGAAATAAATTCAAAATCGTATTTGTGTGCCAGTGTCACCGTGTGCAATTCATAGCTTTATATCTTTTAAAAGTGACATTATGCCCAACTAAATGTACATGGTGAATGTACAAGTCAAAATAACTTTACATTCTGCCATAATTGTTTTAAACTTTACATCGTATTTTACACGTATAATCAATAACCCACGTGACTGGCAAATAATATCTAAATATCCCCAGGTTTGACTTTTACTTCAAAAGAAGAGGAGGAAAGTCATTTTATATTTTAGGCAGTTTTAATATAATCAATTATTGGTCGTTGACCATTATAAATTAATAGTCAATGTTTGGAAATATATATCTAATTAAGGTAGCTCGCTACTTTCCGACCGAAATTTGACAACATCTCAGATCTTGATGATTTTTTGTATGCAAACATATAGATATGTGAACTTTACTTCTGCAGTATTATTTTATAAATAAACACCGTTACTATGACGTCAAAGCGCCCTCTATCGGTGGCGGCGAAATTGCGTCTTTTTCTCAGTAAACCAATCTGTTCTTATCAATTTTCATCCGATTTCCTTTGTTTTTTTTTATAGTGTTCAGTAAATGTATGTCTTTGTAATATATCTTTCTTTAACATTTACTTAATAGTCTGCGATTCTACGTCATTATTTTTCTACATTCTGAACCGTCCATATCTGATGCAAATACGCGCGATTCGCAATAAAGGAATTGTGTAATAAAAAAAAATTCAAAGCACGGTGAGCTTTGCAAAATTTTTATCGAGCGTGTTTTGAGAAAGTGAAGGAAAATATTTATGCAATAAAAAATATAGGGTCAACGCGTAAGATATTTTGCTATTACTGTTTTAAAAAATAAAATAAAGGGGGAATGTAACGTAATGGTTTTTGGTGGCGTTAATAGACGTTGGAGTTCAAAAAAATAATACCCCAAATAACAATTTTCTTACGTCAAAACATTAACGATAGTAAGTAATAAACAACCAGGAAATTGATGAAATGTATATTTTTTTTTTAATTGTTGATTATTTTCTCAATGAAAGCATGCGCTAGATGAGCACATTTACAATGTTTAATCTTAAATACGTTTCCTAATTTGCAGGACGCAGTCTCATACATCTTTTTAATTTTTTATTTTATATTTTGATGTTTGTAATGAAAGAGTGAAAAGTGTTATATATGTTAACTATGAATTAACTAGTTTCAAAGGCGCAAAAAAAAAAATAAGATTCACATATTGCTGTATGAAAGAAAAGTAAGAATATTAGGTCGCTTACCTTATCCCGTTAGAATATTAATTTTACGTTACATTCAGCTTTTAAACACTTTCATATAATCACATACAGGCAGACGAGCCTCGGTGTCAAAACACATCGTAAAGATTGCAATTAAAATAGATATGCATCAAATGTGAAATAAGTGATAAAAAAATTTTCAGAAATAATATTCAATATGTTAAGAATTTTATAACAAACTGTACAAATTTATTTTTGCTTACCATTTTTAAGTGATGTGCAATACATAGATTATAATAATTATAATCTAATTAAAATGTCATAATTAGAAAATGACAAACTATAAAACTTTTTGGATCTCGGATTTACGTATACCTACTTACTGCTTTTTCATTACAGTATAACAAAGCGGCCCTCAAATAATTATTTATTTCTAAAGGTTCCACTACATTAGGCAACAAAGGGCATTTCTCTGTAGATGTTATACTGTATATTTTAATTAAACACAAAATATAATTATTAAATACCATGTGCAACTTTTGTTACCACTGAATTATGTTGACGTTACCGTGTTCATTTTTAATACAATACAGTTTGCTTTAAAACAAAAATATATAAAACAAAAAACAAAAACAAAAACGAAAACACACACCAAAAACACGTGTTTATGATGTAAACAATAAAGTGGACTTCTGCCTTATTAAGGGAGATCATAATCAGGTTTTTAACTTTGAATATTCTGTAATCGGTAAAGTGGTCTTACGCTGAATTCGGAGGGTATGAATTGGAGACACGATTGCGTATTGTACTAATAGATAATCCTTTAGAATTGTTTACTGTGTATGAAATGTTTCAAGGTCCACCTCGGACTCCTGTCATATATTTCCGTAGAGAAGTTGATACTGTGAGAAACACTGGTTTTGTTAAATTCCCGTCAGCTATAATTGAAAATACTGTTGAAAGCGGCGTTAAACCCAATATTAAAAAATAAAGAAGATATAAAACATAAAATGCATAGTTCATTATTTTCATAGGCTCTACATAGCACTGTATTATGTGAAGACAAAAACGAGCTTCTCCGAAAACCATATTCACACAAATTGAGGATCCTACATGATCGTCTTCAATACAAGAGAATCTGTATTAATTTTGATATGCAAAATTATCCGCTAATGAATAAATAAACGGATCTTTCGCCTCGAATCGAGCTTCAGGTCGCCTCAAAGATGCGCTAGTAAACGCATACCGCGAGTCAGCGAGTTTTAATAAATAATAATATCTGTAACTATGTGAAATGCGTGAGAAATTCAAGCCATAGCACGAGAACGTGATTTCTCCTTTAAATCTGAGTCTCACGCTTAGTGCAGGGATATTATTTACTAGTATTTAGCTGTGAGAAAAATAAGAATAACTGATGGCTGTTAATACATGAGCCGTGTCACGACAAAACCAACATAATGGGTTTGCGACCAGCATGGATCCAGACAAGCCTGTGCATCCGCTTTTAAACATTTTAACAAGTAAAGAAACTGATAGCGAACAGAATGGATCCTGATCAGACTGCGCGGATGCGCAGGCTGGTCTGGATCCATGCTGGTCGCGAAAGCATTATGTTGGTTTTGTCGTGACGCGGCTCAAATACATTTTTATACAAGTAGAAAAGTTTTAAAATGTCTGCTAGATTTATATAATTAAGACTACCAGTGAATCATGACTTACGTACAAATCGTTGTTACTTCCAGTTGATCATACATTTTTGAAACGTAAATTTGATTCATTTCCTAATAACTGATATATACAATTCGAAATTGTTACATACGTATGGTAACATGGAAGTTTATGTAGTACCGAGATACAAATAACATGGTGACACCGCGACTGCACCAGCCTTTTTATTCTTTTTTTCTGACATTCTTTGGAGAAATGTTTGTTTGTATTATTTCCACTTAGGTGGCCTTTTAATTATATCTTTCAATATTCTGATTGTATTTCAGTCCTCGAGGTATTAATAACCATTCGTTTGCAGTTTTTTTTAGATTGATACGAACTTTTGCAGACAGTCATACCCTGATTTGTTGTACATGTATATAATTGAAGTTGTTCATCGAAATGCGGGCACCTGACAGGACTTTTAAAAGAACATTTTACGGAACATGTCTAAATACTATTGTTGTTGATGGTTTTCACACATTTTAATTTCGGTCAGTATGCTATTTATCGGAAAAGTCGTGACAATTTCCTTGAGAAAAATATTTGATGTCACCAAAATCATTACGTTTACTCATCCTTTATCTTATATTAAATAAGTAATACCAAAATATCTTACGCGTTGACCCTATATTTTTATTGCATAAATATTTTTTTTCATGACTTCACTACATGTTAAAAAAAATACAGCAACATTCACCGTGTTGATTTTTTGTTATTTTACAATCTTTATTGCGATATCGCGTGATATTTGTATCATAAATTTACGTCAGAACGTGGGTTAAAATAACGTAGAATCGCAGAGTATTATGCAAATGTTAAAGAAAGACATTATTTCAAAGACAGACATTTACTGAACATTATAAAATTAAAACAAAGGAAATCGGATGAAAATTAATAAGAACAGACCGGTTTATTGATAAAAAGACGCAATTTCGCCGCCACCGATAGAGGGCGCTTTGACGTCATAGTTACGCTGTTTATTTGTAAAATAATGCTGCAGAAGTAAAGCCTACCCATCTATATTTATGTATACCAAAAATCATCAAGATCTAAGATGTTGTCAAATTTCGGTCGGAAAGTAGCGAGCTACCTTAAGCTCAACTTGGTAGTGCAAAATAAGTGACATGTCAAAAATATCTCAATCAATGTTATTTTGGGGTAAGAGATTGCAAATATGTACCCTTTATAATCATTAATAAATGTTCATTTTATGTGCTTAATTCTTGATGTTAAGTCACTGAACATGCCCATGGCATGAAACTTGGGACTATTAAATGCCTTTACTTTTATTATACCCTGAATATAACAGTGGTGAGACTTTCACAAAAAGTTTTAAACTTAACCACTTCAAGTTATAGCCATTGAAGAATGAAAGAAATATAAAATTGATGATCAGTTTTGAAAAAGTATTGCTGTGAAAGAATTTCATTTTTCATTTTAAGAATTGCTTCAAAATTGAGTCTCTTTACAAGTTATAATAACTTCATTTTGTTTCTGTATCAATAAATATTTATATAGTCATTGGCTATCTTATATGCATAAATCTTGAATTGTTTCAACATGTACATACATGCAGCTCAGACAGAATAAATACAATTAAAGCAGCACGCCTCCAGATTCATGCTTATTTTCATGAACATTTTGAAAATGTATTTTAATGTATAATATTGTGAAATAATCATAAGGAAGGAATTATCACATTATCAATGGCACAACCCACGTAAATTACCAAATCGTGGTCAAAATATGCTTAAAAACCCTAACTGCGTTAGTAACGCAGTAGAAATATAGTTGTAAATACTGAAAAATTAGTCATTAACCGCATGTCACATGTAAAATATTACTTGACTCTTAAATCATTTTGCTTTTCCTAAAATCGTGGTACACATTTTTCAAGTTTGATTTTACTGAAATATTTTGACTCATCTGAAGGCATGTAGCTTTAAAAATTATATCTTTTATAAAAAAAAAAATTCACTTCTAACAAAATTTATGTTATTTTGTCACTACTAGGTATTAATTGTCAAGTAACAGCAAATCCAAATTGACAGGTTTTTTTTTTCGAATAAAAATCTGCTCCTGGAGATTCTTTCATCATTTTCACTATAGTGAAAGTTTCATTCATTTTGTTCCATTTCTTTTGTCTATTCTGTTAAAAAAAAAGCCCACAATAGGCTGTGCTAAAGTTCTTGAATATCCTCGCCAATATATACAATTGTTTCACAATGATCCATCCCATTAAATCATCATGTGTCACTGTCACCTCCATTTTCTTCTTCCCATTTCTTCATTATTTCAAAAAATTCTCTAGCTTTAATCTTCTTTGGAATAATGTCTGAAAAAAAAAATTTTCTTTGGAATAATGTCTGAAAGAAATAATTTTCTTTTTAAATATCACACTAACGCAAACATATAATTATTTCATATCACTGTTGTAAATGTAAGGGTGGCCACAGATATTTCAAACCATTATTCCCTGATATTTCTCTGTAAAAAAATAATATCCTCTTAACAATTTTCCTGAAAAAAAAAACCCTGTTTATTTTTTTCCCTAAAAACCCGTAATAGGGTGTTTTTCCACCAAAAGAAAAAAAACTTTAAAATACTTTTCCCCCAAAAAAACTTTTTACTTTAAAAAAACCCCTTTTAAAAATATAACCTGTTATTTTTTAAAAATTAAAACGGGCCCCCCAAAATGTGAAAAACCCCTTTTTCCCATTATTTATAATAATAACATGCTTTTTAACCGGGAAAAAAAAAGGGCCCGGGGGAAAATTTTAAAAATTTAAAACCCTTAAAAGGCATCTTTCCCCCTTTTGAAAAAATCCCGTAGGGTTCATTTATAAATTAAAAGTTTAAGGGTAAAAATTAAAAAAAACCCCCAAAAAAGTGAATCAGTTAATTAATAAATAGGCCAATTTCCAGACAAAAAATATTTTGATTTCACAACTTTTAAAATTAAAACTCCAAAAAAAACAAAAAAAAAAGTTTAAAAATTTTAAAAAATTTTAATTTTTCAAAAACTTGCTCAACTGAAAATTTCCATAAAAAATTCTTTAAAATGGTTTTATAAACTTTGAAAAAGTTAAAAATCAGGGGGGAAAATTTCAAAAAATTTGAAAAAGGGGGAAAACTCCCCTTTTTTCTAAACTTGAAATTCCAGGGCCCTTTTATTTTTTAAAATTTTGGAAAATTAAAATAAATTTGAAAAAATTTTAAAATTTTAAAACCCCAACTTTTTTTCCCAAAACAAAAATTAAAAGATTTTGTTATTTAAATCTTTAAGAAAAAACTTCAATATTTAACCAATGAAAACATTTTTACCCAAATTGACAATTACTTCAAAACTTGCTCTATCTAGTCATTCACATAAAATATTCTCTTTAGAAATGGCTGACTATACATGATGTATTTCAAAAGAATTTGAAAGAGTAACAGTCTTTTTTTTTTTAAAGACTTGAAATTACATGCCACATAGATGTATCTGTTGATGGGTCTTGGTAATTTTTTCATTAATAAATTGACAGGGTTTTCGTTTTTATCTGAGCTTACCAAAACAACCAATTTAGCCAAAGGTCAAGGGGAATATTTAATCTACATGCTAAAAATACAACCAATTTTAAGAATATTTTAACTGACGATATGGATCGCCAATCTGTTGATAAGGAAAACCTTTGCAACTTTCATGGTTTTGCTTTTAGTCTGTTTACCATTTAAATAAATAAACAAAGAGGCTTCTGGTCTATCTATTTTTTAAAAAACAGTTTAGCAAACAATATATAGATAAATAATTTATACATAAACATCAGTTTTTTATGTGACAGTAGTAAGAAGTAAAGTTAAGACCTTGCAAAAACTGTAAAGTGTCAATGCCATCCACAATCTCCGCTAGATCATTATACTTGAGCATTCCCTTGTCAGAACTTTGTTCCAATGACACTTGTGCCAGACTCTGTATAAACATCTCCTGAAATGATATTTGAATACTAGTCAAAGTAAAATCTTTCTAGTTGTTAGCAATTCTTTTCATTGCTAGGCCAATTGCTCATGAACTGTATCACAAATAAAATCACTAGAAATGTGTCCATAGGAGTAAGGACACGGGTGCTGTCCATTTTATGACTCTAGGTCAAATATTTTTTGGACTACATGTGCCACAAGTTGAAAACTAAAAATCTTTTACTAAGTAAAGGGTAAGAACTTTACAAATACTGAATAAATCCACAAGCAAACCCCAAGGTGCATAAGTACACATGCTGACCAACATTCTTGTAAACTGTCAGGCCTACAAGTCAAATACTTTTTGAGCTATGCATGAGCAAGTTGAAAATTGCAAATTTATACTACTGTAAGTCAAGGTCAATAACTCTTAACAAAACTGAAAAAAAATCCACATGCAAAGTCCCAGGTGTATCACTGCAAAGCTTCACAGTGATGTTGATCATTATTCCTGTAAAGTTGGTTGATTCTAACTCAAGCACTAAAGGAACAAATAACACAACATAATAAAACAGCTTTTACTAAGTCAAGGGCAATAACTGTACAAAATACTGTATAAATCCACAAGCAAAACCAAAGGTGCACAACTACATTTGCTGAGCAACATTCCCGTAAGGTTTCATGACTCTATGTCAAATCCTTTTTGAGTTACATGCAACACAAGTTAAAAATTGCAAAATTTTAATAAGTCAAGGGCAATAACTCTAAAAATACTAAATAAATCCACACGAAAATACCCAGGTGCACAACTGCACATGCTGATCAACATTCCTGTTAAGTTTCATGACTCTAGGTCAAATACTTTTTGAGTTACATTCTACACAAGTTGAAAATTGCAAATTTTTACTACACATGTAAGTCAAGGGCAAAAACTCTAAAAATACTGAATAAATCCACACGAAAATACCAAGGTGCACAAATGCACATACTGATCAACATTATTATTCAGTTTCATGACTGTAGGTCAAATACTTTTTGAGTTATGTGCGACACAAAAGAGAACGGACAGACAGACAAGGGTAAATCTAAATGCCCCCCACCACCCTAAAGTGGGGGCACAACGAGTTCCATTGTGTAAACCAGGTCAACCTTTGACTATCTCAAAATTGCAGTTTGATAGCCGGTCAGCTAATTTAATTAAACAAAAATGGGTCAAAGACAGAAAAGGACGGGTTGCATTTGTATACCAAATATCATGATGCTGTGATGTTAAGAAAAAAATTTACCACTGAATATTAATGTCGAAAATTTAACAGTCAGTAAACAGGAAGTGGATGAGAAACAAACCTGACATAAAATCCCAAGATATGGAACTACTAGTCAATGCTGTAAGCCAAATATCAAGGGGCTGCTGAGAAAACTATTACAAAAATTTCCTACCAATGACCATTAATGTCGAAAATTTAACTAAGTCAGAAAAAGGAAATGGATAAGTAACAAGCCTGACATCAGATCCCACGATACGGGATTACATGTAAATGCTGTATGCCAAATATCACGAGGCTGTCATTAGAAGTTGCTAAAAAAACTGTTACGAAAATTTCCTACCATTGACCATTAATGTCGAAAATTGAATTAAGTCCATAAACAGAAAGTTGATGAGCGACAGACCTGAAATTGAATCCTACATTATGGGACCATGTGTCAATGCTGTTTGCCAAATATCAACAGGCTATGATAAGTACTTGCTGAGAAAACTGTTACGAAATTTCCTATCATTGACCATTAATGCCGAAAATTTAACTAAGTCCATCAACAGGAAGTAGATAAGTGTCAGACCTGAAATTGATTCCCACGGTATGAGACCATGTGTCAATGCTGTATGCCAAATATCAAGAGGCTGTGATAAGTAGTTGCTGAGAAAACTGTTACGAAAATTTCCTACCCTTGACCATTAATGTCGGAAATTTAACTAAGTTGATAAACAGGAAGTGGATGAGCGACAGCCCTGAAATCTGTTCCCACAGTATGAGAACAAAAGTTAATGCTGTATGCCAAATTTCAAGAGGCTGTGATTAGTAGTTGCTGAGTAAACTGTTACGAAAATGTCCTATCAATGACCATTAATGCTGAAAATTTAACTAAGTCGATCAACAGGAAGTAGATAAGCGTCAGACCTGAAATCGATCCCACGGTATGAGACCGTGTGTCAATCCTGTATGCCAAATATCAAGAGGCTGTGATAAGTAGTTGCAGAGAAAACTGTTACGATATTTCCTACCATTGAACATTAATGTCGAAAATTTAACTAAGTCGATAAACAGAAAGTGGATAAGCGACAGACCTGAAATCGATTCCCACGATATGGGACCATGTGTCAATGCTGTATGCCAAATATCAAGAGGCTGTGATGTGTAGTTGCTGAGAAAACTGTTAAGAAATTTCCTTCCATTGACCATTTTTGTTGAAAATTTAACTAAGTCGATAAACAGGAAGTGGATGAGCGACAGACCTGAAATCAAATCCCACAGTATGGGACCATGTGTCAATGCTGTATGCCAAATATCAAGAGGCTGTGTTGTGTAGTTGCTGAGAAAACTGTTACGAAAATTTCCTACCATTGACCATTAATGTTGAAAATTTAACTAAGTCGATAAACAGGAAGTGGATAAGCGACAGACCTGAAATCGAATCCCATGGTATGGGACCATGTGTCAATGCTGTATGCCATATTTCAAGAGGCTGTGATAAGTACTTGCTGAGAAAACTGTTATGGAAAGTTTTTCCCCGCCCGCCCACCAGACATTCACCATACTATAACCCGGGTTTGCACCAGTGCAACCCGGCCAAAAATGTAAACACAGGAAGGTTAAGAGTCAATTTGGCTCTCTATCAACTTGGCACAGGTCAACTCGGCCCACTTTTGAAAAAAAAAAACATATTAAACGTATTAATTTTTTTATTACTGTACTAGCATGTTTAAATATCAAGGGAAGTTGTTTGAAATGAGATATCCTCACATTGATTACCTTGGCAGCATTGTACAGATAATGGGAGATCTCTGCGTAGGAGATTGATATTCTTATATAAGTACATAGTACTTCTGTAGAATTATGGCTACAACTTAAATGGAGAATATTTACTCTATATTCGGTCATTACTTCTTTAGCCATCTTATTTTTTTGGATTCCTAATCCATAATTGTAGATATTTAGGCTTGTGTTATTTTATGTTAGGCAAGTACTTTGCCAAGAGGCAGTAGCTAGCCGTACTGGCCCGTACGGCTAGCCAAAGTTCTAGCCGTATGTGAGTCACGTTCGGCTAGCCAGATCACACTGAATTGGCTAGTCGTACAGCACTTTTTAAAATTACATGGAAGTCGAAAATGCATACCGTATGTTATTTCATGACTTTATTAAAGCAAGGATTTTAACAGAGAAACAGCAATTGTCTTCGTATGTTTACTTTTTAGAGATTAATCCGTCGCCATGTTGGCTACAGTACAGTAAATGATTAAGTATGAATATCAATCTTTGTCATCTCCAGATGGCGAGAAAAAAAGAGCGTTTAAAAATTGGTTGCAGTTGAAAAACATCAATTGAAATAGTTTACAAAATTGTGATAACAATCCTTTTTTGTTTCAATAAGTTCAATTTTCAACACCTTTAAAAATAAAAAAACACTGAAAATAATTGTTGTTGGCTCTAATAATTGCGTCAATTACTGACTATCATAGGGAAAGTTTGCATGTTCCGTGAAACGCATTCTAAAATTTTATTGTCAGTCCCTGGATAGGCTTTAATTAAGGCTTATTGATTGTGCTTTTTTACTTCTACTGTATTTAAAAAATTTAAAATTATTTTTGCTTTTCAAAGTGTTTTTTTTTAATGTTCTTTTTATTTATTCCATTGCGATCATACCATTATGAAAAAGCTTCATTTGCCGTTATGATTATTTATTCAATTCATCTGCATAATTAACAAAAATGATTTAATAATTTATCTTTCATACAAATAAAACAACAAATCATCTAAATTATGAAAAACAATGACGCTATTACTTATAACAAGAAACTTTGACACTTTTATCAAGATTACAACGCTTGTAGATATATTACCTGTCTTCGTATTCATTTTTTTTACAAAATGGCGTAGCATCTTTATTAAAGTAAACATACAAGGACAAATGCAGGGACTTGGTTAAAATCCTTGTTTAAAGACACAAATAACGTATGCATTTTCGACTCTCATATAATTTTGAAAAGTGCCGTACGTCTAGACAATACAGTGTGTCCTTGCTAGTCGTACGTGACTCACGTACGCCTAGAACTTTTGGCCAGCCGTACGGCTAGCCACTTCCTTGCCAAGAAGGTAAACAACACAAAGCAACATTACTGCTTAACTTGGGCAAAGATTGAAATGACAGAAAACATCTGGTTTCTTTGAAATTACCGTCGCTTTTGCTGCTAAAAAGAGTGCCTCCTGATTTATGTTGCTGACATCAGGTGAACTTTTCATGATTGTCCTCACCCGTGAAAGTGGTAATTCACATTTCCCTCTTTCGTCAGCCATTTTCCCGGCAATTGGCGAGCTTGATTAAAATATTTTTCAATGTTCCGAAATTAATCGAACCAATTAAATGATTAAAGGGAGACAATTTTGTTACAGCCTAATGAAATAAATCCGCCTACTTAAAAACTAAATTAATGAAGATTAATATGGTTGGCATTCTATTTTGATAAAAAAGATTGCCGGGATGGATATAGATACATCATCTCTCGTACACGAAGATGAGCTAAATGAAAAATACGAAGTATAAAAGACAATTTCTACTTTTTAGTCATACATTCGGATAGTCTTTATTTTGGATGCATCATTTGCATGTATCACATGTATGATGCATACTGCTAGATGTCATTTTGTAAAATATAAATTTATGTTTCCCTTAAATTATCGTTGTACTATTTGCATTTAATGTTTGAGTAGCCTTAACAACTGAGTGCAATAGTTTTGTTATTTGTCAAAAATAATATTTATTTAAAAAGTGTTTAACTACTATACAGTGATACTGTACATGTATGCAGTTTTTTATATATGTTATGTGCATAAGTTTAAGATAACTAAAAAAATAAGTACATTGCATTATATAACATTTTTGTTGAATTCAAGACTGTATTGTTGTATGTCTTAACCAATTTATCATTCTTCATGTTACTCAGGTATTATTTAGTGACTGATGCAGTAAAGCTAATTATAGATGACAGGTAAATCTGTAGATTTATAAGATAAATATCGTCACTTTATTCATTAGTATTCAAATGAATCTTGTGCACCGATCTATTGTAACCTGATCCCCAGTGGAATAATGTTTGGGTGATCAAAACAAAAACTCTGCTTGACAGGACAGATGCCAATTAAAACTTCCCTTCCACTCCCTCAGTATATTGTGGTGATGGGGTTAGTATTGAACAAGTGGATAACTAGGATGACGGTAGTTTTATACTTTGTAGATATATATTGTGTTAATGGTTTTAACTGTATTTAATGCAAACAATTTATAAGTCAAAGTGTATCTATCTTTAAAACTGACATGATTTAGAGTAAGAGAGCAATAAAATACAAAACATTTGTCTTCATGAGATAGCAACTGATTGATTTATAATTATATCTATTTATCGTAGAAAACTATCTGAACCCAGACATTTGTTTACTTTTACTTGTCTTGGTGATATTAAATTTATATTAACTTCTGAATAAGATTATATTTAGTTTGATAATATACTATAATTTATGTAAATAATTAATGATAAACTTGATGTTGAACTGATAAATTCAACTGATATATAAATATTTTGATTTGAAGCAAAGTTGAAACAAGGTTGTTTATTATATATCTTTAAAACTAACAAGTTTGAACAAATATCTCACATACAAATTTACAATTTTGAGTGAAACACTCACTGTTAAATTTTAGTCACAATTTTTGTGTGCAAGTTAGTACACCCAAAATTTCTGAAGGGAGTAGGTAGAAAATCTCACAAATTGTTCTCTTTGGTTATCTAACATGATGGACACATGGCCTATAATCCTGTGTTAACTTATTACAAAATTTTGCCCCTTTTGTTTCTGTCATGCACTTAGAAAAGAACAAGCTGTCTTATGGATGAATGGGAAATCCCTTAAACTGCTAAGTTGTAAAATTGGTAGGTTACAGGTCAAAATGGCATGTTGCAATATAGACCAATGACTTCAGATGTCCTGCCATGCATTATTTAATGTACAAGTAGGCACCTGAGTAGAACCACCTGCATTTTGTATTTTTTTTAAAGTTTCTGTCCCTAGTTGATCTTTATACTCATATACCCTGAGGTATGGGTATAGCTTCCCCACAACTGACTCAGAATCCAGTCTCTGGCAGGTTTCAAACCCACAGTAGTAAAAGACATGTGATTTGAAAAGAATGACCTTTTGACCATTTAGCCACACAAGACTGAATGTGGGCAAATACTGACACAGCATGTGTTTGTTAGTGTACACATACATTTCAAGTCCTTATTTCAGGCATCTTCCTTAAATGCTGAGTTTAAAAGTACTTGAGTCCTTTCATATATTTGACCTCACTTTGATATCAACCTCTAGTACTTGAACTTACAGTGGGTACATTAGTCACCATATCTTACGTTAATCGTGTGATAAATAATACTGTAAAGTCACTCATATTTGTAAGTTATAAATATGTCAATATCTAATGTACAATCCATGAAAAGATTGATGTGAAATTTTAAAAATAGAGGGAAAAGGAATCCCTAAAAAATGCTAAAAATGGCAAAATTTGATTGCACCTGTTACAGGATGGTATTGATAATTTGCCCCACGGCCGCTACCATTGGCTTAAGCAGAATTCAGCGTTTAAGCACAAAAATGGTGAAATTCTTAAATTTGAAACATCTGCTTGTTTTCTGTTTATTTTGTACAAGAATTGACCAAGAAGTTATTACATTTGTGCTGCGTCATGATAAAACCAACATAATGTGTTTGCGACCATCATGGATTCAGACCAGCCTGCGCATCTGCGCAGTCTGATCAGGATCCATGCTGTTCGCTATCAGTTTCTCTACTTGTAATAGACTTGGTAAGCGAACAGCATGGATCCTGATCAGACTGCGCGGAAGCGCAGGCTTGTCTGGATCCATGCTGGTCGCAAACACATTACGTTGGTTTTGTCATGATGTGGCTCATTTGTGTATATAAGTACAAGTTGTGTAGGTACAGAAGTACTGGTGCATATAGTTTTTAAACTCACTCTTGTTTCTTTATTTAGGTTAAGGTAAAAGCACTTGACTTTTATTTCAAGATTACATTAAGTTCATTAAATGTGATAAAATTCTGCATTTTAATTAGGTTAGATAAACAGGTGTATTTAGGATAATTTTCTGTTTTCAAAATACAAGCAAGCATAGAAACAAGTGTTAAAAGCTATGTAGGAGTAGGAGGTACATTACGTTGTATGACGTGTTTGGAGTATAAAATGAATAAGAGTATAAGAATTTAAACTGGATACAGAAATATTTATACAGGATATATGCAGTATAGTGCTTGCTAATACAGTTAATTAGTGATGAATAATACATTGTATATGCCAAAACGAGTTGTGCTGGTATGTATAATATTTATTGTATTAAAAAAAAATTCCACAAAGAGTGATCGATGGCTGTGTTTCAATACTGTAGATTATAACAGTAACCTATGGGTTTTCTTTTGGTTCAATCTTTAGTGCTCATGCATTGTGCACTCTGAAAATTTTACTTAGATGAAAACCCTTTATTAAAGTAAGTGTTTATGAAGTTTTAAATTGTTTTTTGAAAAAAAAATTCTGGTTAAAAAATTTGGAACAATTAATGTGTAAATTTTGAAGTTAAAAGTTTTTGACTTTGTGCTGTTGATGGGGTTATATAGTTTTTATAGCTCCGCACGTTTTAACAGTGTTTCCTTTTAAGGAAAATGCAACAGTAACCCGTTTTCTAAAAAAAAAGACTGGCGTACTGAAAATTTTTTAAAAATAAAAAATTTATTCGGGTATCTTTTAATTTTTTAATTTTTGTTTTTTATATTTAATAAAATTTAGTAAGAGTGTTGAAAGGGAAAAAGAAAAAAATATTGATCATCATGATGTTGTATTTTCAGAATTCTAAAGGTGAATTACATAGTGTGGTCGGTGATGACAGAACTAGGTCATTTAGTCAGCGACAGATTAGCCCAGACTCAGACAGGGACAGACTGAGATCGTATACAAATGAGGCAAGAAAAAATTATAATGCTTGCAGGTTAGAGATGTTTTTAAATTCTCCAATGATTCCTATGTTTCATTTAAATTTTATGAATTTAGAAAAATTTCACAACTGTATATATTGTATTCAAAGTTGAAAGTTTTAAAGTAATATGTTTAAGAATAATTCATTTAGACATGTCTGAAATGTATGATTATTCTCAGCCTTTATAAAGCTTTGTATGCAAATTAAAACTATGATCATGACATTGTTTATATTTGTTCCTATATCTATTGAATTTAGAAAGGGTACTGGAGGTTGGGTAAATCCTGCCCATGTGCCTTATAGTTCTTGAAATATTACAGATTACGTCTTGCTTAAAGTAACATTAATTTTGTAATGAAAAAAAAAATGTATTTGTCGTGATATGACAAATAACAGTGTCTATTCTAAGATTTGAAAAACGGGGAATTTTATCGAAAGGTGAGAGTTTATGTATTTTTTCTTTCTTTCTCTATGTAAAATTTTCCCCCTGCCTCTCAAAGAATTGGAGGCATGATTCTCAAAAATATGAGTGAATCCCCCCATCGCCCCCTCCTAGAAAAGACATTGTCAAATATTATGACAAATTATGTCCTCTGTTTATATGTTACAGGCCATCCATTAGAAATCTCCATGTTGCTAACACACCCCATTTCTACGACTCTACTGAGACTGAAACCGAGTCACCTAGGACAACGAAACATCAAATCAAACAATCCAAACATCTTCCCGGCTGGATTTGGAAAATTGTCACCTTGGTGTTAGGAATCAACCAATCAAAACGTTGGTTTGCGACAATACTGTACGTGATTACGTTATTCTCTGCCCTGACATTTACATTCCTCGGAGTGCTTTTCGTAGTCTACGATGTTGCGAGTAAGAACTCCTCAACGACCGTTCATATCGGATTTATGTCGTTACTTATTGGTTTTGGCTGGTTGTGTTTGGGCATTTACTCGTTCAGACTCGCAGGGCGATTGTTTGGTGACGAGGACTTTGCGGCCAGTATTCGAACTCATTCCAAAACACTGTTCAAGATCAACTCAGCAATTCTGCTAATTTTGTGTGGGTTTATATTTACAGGTTTGTAAACTTTTTCATGCTTTTTTCTTGAAACAATATTTTCAGTCTATTGATGTCAAAAAACTTAGTTGAGTCTTTTATAATGTACAACAAAATTTTCTTACTTCAATTGTTTTATGATGATACAACAGTGAAAGCATTCTAGAACATTATAAAAATATACTTAAAATAGGTATAATGAAAACAATTTAAAGTCAGGAGTCTGGTTATTACAATGTTACTTGACATTAAAACTGTCAATAGTCAATCTTAACAGATTCATAACGGTTAAAAATCTTAAATGAATTTTTTGGTTGATTACAGGATTGAATCTCTATACTTCATTTGACACATATGCCTCAGACTACTGTCACATTGTGGGTCTCCATCATCTAGTGTGTAACTCCATGTACATCAGCCGTGTTGTGTTCTCTGTGTTAGCCACCATTTGGAATCTGCTGGTGGGATGTATGCTACTCTCTGTATGTCGTACACATACTATAGGTATTTATAATCTCATTATCTCCTCCAATAGAACTTTAGTTTGAAAATTCGAAGACTAGGTAGAACTATTGTTCTCGCTCTGGAATCCGCATCAACGTCACACTTTCGTTAAATTTTTGCGCGCAGTTTGGTATCTTGAAAAATACTGAAGGGAATTGATTGTAAACTTCTCACACTAGTTATCTGTGATTATCTAACATGATCTGCACAGGTTCTATAACTCTGAGTTTCCTTTTTACAGAGTTATTTGCCCGTTTTCTTACTGCGAAGCACTGAGAATAGTCAAGAGTGCGTTTTAGTATCATTTTATGTGTTTTGGTTTTAATATATTGACAATATTCATATTTATAAGAACTTATAGAATGGATCTCTGACATGAAGTCTTATGGTCATTAATTTTGTCCAGCACTGCTGAATCGGAAATCATGTGGGATTGACTGGCAAAGAAATTGGTAATAACTGGTTAGTTATCCAAGGAAAGCTGGTTTGGTGGATTGATGACGAGATACAATCAAAACGTGTGTTAAATTGGTGTTAGAACCAAAAAACCTAAAAAAAACAATATTTTTTTCTTCTCCTTTTATCTCTTATGAGTCCAGATCTAGTCATTACTGGTGTCATAAGAAAACTGGTAAAAAGGTTTTACAGCTTCTTGTCCACGGCTCAACCTTGTTTGAAATTTTTTTTTCTTCTAAGGAACCTTTCCCCATGTAAAAAATGTAAAATTTTACTTTTGTCTGCTATGTGTATATGATCCCCTTGTAAATATTCCTTGTAATTATAAAGTACTGAGTATATAAAATATCAGTCAGACACTTACCTTACATTAGTACGTCCTGTGTAGACATTTTAAACTATCGTCAATACTTATCAAAATAAAAATACAACCTGCTGATTCTCTTAAATGACTTTGCCCAGCTTACATTTTCTCGAGAATGTCCATTAATCATTTAGGGGGATGTCAAGATGTAAATTCAAAGTCAGTCAGCCATTAGTTTAGTGAGTTGTCTGATTGCAAGGATGTGCAGACTACTCATGTCTCTACACTGTGGACAAAGGGTTATCACTTTTTTGTTTTTAGCTGGGTACAGGTTATGGGTGTATTTTTCTTTACGAGACATGTTTTATGGAATACCTTTTCAGGAATTCGTAGATTTGTGCGTGATTTAGAGGATGATGGGAGAAAATATGATGACTACTGGAAGAAACGATTAAAGAATTCAAAAGACGGGGAATATCATCGAGAGACATCATCTATCCTAGATAGTAAGTACAAATGAGCCGCGTCACGACAAAACCAACATAATGCGTTTGCGACCAGCATGGATTCAGACCAGCCTGCGCATCCGAGCAGTCTGATCAGGATCCATGCTGTTCGCTTACAAACCCTATAACAAGCAGAGAAACTGATAGCGAACTGCATGGATCCTGATCAGACTGCGCGGATGCGCAGGCTGGTCTGGATCCATGATGGTCGCAAACGCATTACATTTGTTTTGTTGTGACGCGACTCAAATATTGCTGTTGTCTGTCTTTTAGATTGGTTCCTTTCTGTCATCCGTTATTCTGCTTTTAGATTGGTTTCTTGCTGACACCTGAAGTAATAAATTCTTTTCAACATTATAACCTTTAATGTATTTATTAAGAGAGATAGCTGAACAGATTTCGATACATCTACAGCTTAAGTCGTCAGTTCAGAATTGTTGCTTATCTTATTTCAGACAGGGGATGGTTTGTGTTACAAGACAGTGATTTAAATGAATTAATAAAAGAAGGGAGTGTTCCAGAACAGCCAGATGTTCCTGCTAATCAGACAGTTAACAGACAGGGGAGTAGAATAGAATTGCAGACCCCAGAAGATGTTGTGTTAATGAGAGAAAATTCACCTGTCATGAATCTGACTGCTAGTGTTGAGGTAAAGATCTGTTCAACTCATTACCTGAAATTTGTACATGTATTATAGATTTTACGGGGTTTGAATTTGGAACAGTCCATTCAAAGTGGAAGAGATTTACATATAATGCAGGGCTTTTGATCTCCCTTAGCTAAAATGTTGTGTTTATTTCCCCCAGTTGCAAAAACACTTTAACTATAATCACTATAATAGTGACTTAATAGTTAGTTATACATGTAGTTAGAAGGATTTTTGATTAACATAGCATCAGAATGTAAAACTTTGACCAAAAACTTTACCCTCTATCTCCATGAACCTTGTACAAAAAAAATTAAAACTTAACCCAACCCCACAGATCCATAATTACACTAAATATACCTTACCCCATACCAACTTTCAATTCATTGAAATGAAACAAATCACAAGCACCAATTAACAAGATAAAGGAGATAAAAATCAGTCATATGTAATAAATATAATTATATTATCACATAAACTGCGGTGCAGGAATGTTATAAACACTTCTAATAAAGATGTTATTACACCATGATGTGATGACATTTTGGTTTTATACAAACATAGCGTTAAAGTGTGTAAAACTAAACGTTTCACTATAGGAGCGTCAACGAAAAAAGACTTTTTCATTTTAACTGTAAGCTGTTCTAACTTTAAATTGTAATAATTAGAATATTATATGTGTGTATTTGTGTAGATTTAGAACTGAATTTATTGGAGTTGTTATTTAAAACAATATTATGCTAACCAGAGGCCCCACGGTCGAGGGGTTAGAGTCGATGACTTCTAATCCAGTTACCTCTCTGGCGTGGGTTTAATCCCCGGGAGATGCTTTGGTAGTTGAGCGGAGGAAGGTAGTATAGTACTGGTGTAAATCTCCATGAATGATGGTTAGGGAACTACCTGCCTATATGACTGAAATACTGTTGGGAAAAGGCGAAAAATGAAACAAACAAACAAACAAACTCCCATAATATGACTTGATTCAACTCGTTCACTAAATTTAGTATTAAATCTACACTCAATCAATATCCTCTATATATATATATATATATATATATATATAGATAAATGATTCATGTATTACAGGAGGACCTTACAAACAGTATTGGCGGTACAGGCAGTATAGACTCCCAGCTTGATGAACCTCCTATTATGACAGAAGATGAAATACTTCTCTGCTACTGGAAAATTTCTGTAAGATTTTGATTTAAAGGAGTATACACAATACTAGTAAATATTTCATCTGTATCTATATTGATGAATTGCTGTTTACAGACACATAGATAACAGACAACAACTTCCTAGCCAGATATCATGCATGCTTGCTAAACTTAAAATTTGTAACAAGTAAAACTTATTAACCTGATATCAAAATTAGTAAAAAAAAAAATTTCTGGAAGCTTATGCATTTTTCTATATCCACCCTTAATCCTCTATAGTTGCATAATGAACTTATCTTGTTTCTCACCAGGAACAGTCCATTAGCCAGGAGAGAGATCTCTATAACAAAATTTACATAAAGCAAAAAGATTACAGTAATAAAATGCTAAATTTAGCAGGTAAATGAATATTAAGGAAATAAAATACATGTATGCATATTTGAGATTAGGACCTCTGTCCTACAAGGGATCCATCTTATAGGAAAATTGAAGTATATGTAATTTTAAGAATCATGTTCTTTTCTAATATTTATTCTGATGATACCCTTATAACTTATAAAATACAGGCAATTTGCCAGTATTTATTTTTTTCAGATAAGATTTTATACATTTGCATGTACTTTGATTAAATCCAGTAATAATCTTAATGAAATATACATGTTAATATTTACAGAGTCGTATGAGATTTACATCACAGTGCCTGCAGCGATGGCTTGCCAGCTGGGTGGCATTTGTCGGGATTTGGATCGGTGACTACGTGATTTACTGGCTTAGTCATTCCCCGGACTTAGGGGATATTCTACAGTTTGTGGCACCCATGTTGTTAATACTAATACTGTGTTCAGCGTATGCAGAAGCCAATGGGGAAGGCCAGCAGATGATCAGGGTGAGTTTAAACTGTTGAATTTATGTAACAGATTGGTCATTTTTTAGGTTTAGTATAGTCTATTCAAAATTTAAGGGATATCAGTATCATTACCTTAAGGTTTTTAAAGTCTTAATAAATTCATTTTTTAAATACAATTTGTTAAAGGAGCACCAGTGAGATCACAAAGCTTAGAGACTAGAATTTGAAATTCTTACATACATTAAATTAAATGAACAAATCTGTAATCTGTGATAAAGAAATATGCTCACAATTAAATTAAAATCAATGTATTTTGGTGTAAAAATCGATTTTTTGTGACATTTCTTAGCTTGACTGAGTGAAAAGCATTGCAACTCTTCAATTGTGGGTCATTTTGCACAATAAAATAATTCTGGAAAAAGACAATGTGAAGGAATGATCAGAAAATTTACATGCAAGTTACAAGTTTTGTAAGGTCTACATCAAATTGTATACAAATCATGGAAAAAAAATATTTCATGTCCCATTATGTCAAAAAACCAAAGTGGAGTTTCTTTGAAATATAATTCCTCGTATGATGTTTATTTTAAATTTCAGTGTATATGTCCAACAAAGGACAGATATGGACTGCTGAACTTTCTACACAGACAGCCACTACAGATGCAGGTAAATAGTATTGGTTATGTATTTATTAACTCCCTTGGTTTACCTCTCTTGGTGAGAAAATTTGGTTATTTTCAGTCTTCCCAATTAGACAGTGAAACTAGAATGTATTTTAACCCTGCTGGAACTTAATGGGATAAGGATTTCTATGCTGTCTGACCAGAAAATTTACTGATAGCTCAATTTTTGTATTTTTATATTTCAATACCTTGTTTGACCTTACAAATCATTATTGGGGGCAAACTCTTGATATGTCCTAAATCCCATATCAGGAGTGACAGAAAAATAATTGTGGTTTTGTGCCAAATATGCCAAATTCAAAAGTTTTAGCTAGGTGACTCACTGAGTATGATGTCAGGTAATGAATATACTAAGGATGTAAAAATGATAAAGAAGATCAAGATTAAAATGACAGCAGTGCTGTTTAAAGGAAAGCAAAGGCTAGAATAACTGCTTGGAATTAGGAATGTTGAACAACTGCTTGTTCAAATGATTCAATAGTTGGCAAAGTTACAAATTGTTCTAGTACTATGTACCACATGTTGGTGGTTTGTTGGAAAAATGGTAGTACATGTAGTTTACGAGGGCTATGTGGATACAAGTTACGGGGTAAACTTCCTGGGACTTCTAGGTACTGGGGAAAAGTAATTGCTGTAAAATTGTCTACCTGGAGTAAAGACACCTCCTCTCTAGTGAGCTCCAGCTTTTTATGTGTGCACTGGAGTTCTAGAGATGTCATTTTGATACCCATCTGGCTGTTCTTTGTTGTATATGTTTGTCATTGTTCAGGGTTATCAGATTATGGGAGAGAATTCAAGTTAAGGTTTTTATGAGTATGTTGCCTGTGAGTGTTTTGAAGTTTTCATGTTTTGGGTTAAAAAAATGAAAATAGGTTTTAAAAAAATAACTGTATTTATAAATAAAGTTTTTCTTTTAACCGATTTAATCTTTCGGTCTGTGAAATTGTTGCCATTTCTTAAGCTAGAATAATCTTCTAAAGACAAATAAAAGTCTTCAAAATCTGTATTGGGATTCAAACCCAGAGCAGCTAAGGGCGGGTTATTTTAAGTCAGATATCTCAACCACTCAGCCATACAGAATGCCAACCATGGTGTAGATAGTTGCATTTATTAACAAGAGCCACCGCCGGGCGGGGGCAACGCTCGACTTTTTACTTTTTCTAAACGCAAACATAGAAAGGTTTGAACATATATTAACGTTTCCTTTTTATAAATTTAGTTGGTGTGTCTTGTCACATTAGTTTTCTTTATATATTTTGTATATATATGAATAGAAACATTAAGCATATTTCTAAAAATAGCAACAGTACGCAATTTCTTAAAATAGCAACATGACGCAATTTCTAAAAATAGAAAAAATGACGCAATTTCTAAAATTAAAAAAAATGACGCAATTTCTATAAATAGCAACAATGACGCAATTTCTAAAAATAGAAACAATGACGCACTTTCTAAAAATAGCAACAAATTCTAAAAATAGCAACAATGACGCAATTTCTAAAAATAGAAACAATGACGCAATTTCTAAAAATAGCAACAAATTCTAAAAAATAGCAACAATAACGCAATTTCTAAAAATAGAAAAAAATGACGCAATTTCTAAAAATAGAAAAAATGACGCAATTTCTAAAAATAGAAAAAATGACGCAATTTCTAAAAATAGCAACAATGACGCAATTTCTAAAAATAGAAAAAATGACGCAATTTCTAAAAATAGCAACAATGACGCAATTTCTAAAAATAGAAAAAATGACGCAATTTCTAAAAATAGCAACAAATTCTAAAAATAAAAAAATGACGCAATTTCTAAAAATAGCAACAATGACGCAATTTCTAAAAATAGCAACAATGACGCAATTTCTAAAAATAGAAAAAATGACGCAATTTCTAAAAATAGCAACAATGACGCAATTTCTAAAAATAGAAAAATGTATGTATATATATATATATATATATATATATATATATATGTATATATATGTGTATATATATATATATATATATATATGGATTTATATTCAATCAACACATTGAAAAACACATTTTCCTTTACTAATTAGTTTCATGCGCAAAACGCAATCTTCAGAAGTGTAAATGGTAGTTCTCAATAAAGGGACGTAACTATGAAGTGTAAATGGTGGTTTCTCAATAAAGGGGCGTAACTATATTAATACTGTTCATTTTTTAAAGTTGCTTAATAGATATTTCCTGGAATGTCTGCAGGTTGTTACAAGTTCGTTTCTTTTGTTAAGTTTAGCGTTTTCTTGTTTGCAGATAATGTAGAATTTCTCCCATAGGCACAAGTTGCATCGGTCGGAGGCTGGGTTGTAGGGTGAGGCTTGTTTTAAGATATTCCATGTTATGTTAAAGTCGATGTTTTCTTCTTTGAGTTCCCAGATATATTTACTTAATTCAGTGCTGTTTTTAAGCTTAGGGATTTCTAAATGATGCTTTGTGGTTTGTAAATCGGGTTTTAAAGGTATTTTCTGTTAATCCTACATAAGTTTGTTTAGGCTTGTCGTCGTTTGTTTCCACTGTAGCTCTATATACAACCGATTTCACCAAGCATCGTCCTGACGTGGGGCAATCTATTGTTTTCCTACAATTGCATGTTTTAGGCTGATTTTTTACTATTTCTTTGGAAAGAATAGCTTTGTTATGTCCGTCGATTATGTTTTTTATATTGTTCATGCAACTATAACTTAATTTGACTGTGTTTCTATTGAATATTTTGTGTAGCAAGTGTTCCTTGGGAAATTCTTCGTCTAGTATTTTCAGAAACGTTTTTCCAATGTTGGTTTCTACATTTTTACTATATGGTGGGTTATACCAGATTATATTTCTGCTTCTGTTTTGCGATTCTTGGTACCGTTGTCAGTCTTTTCTTCATTTGAGTATTTAAGTTGGTGTTTATATCCACTATTTGTATAGACCTTTGGTAGATTGGTGTTGCTATGTCAAAAGATTCTTGGTCATATGATATTTCGCATAGACGTTTGTTAATGCCTATGGGTATGTTCTTGATGATATTTGGTGGGTGGTTCGATTCGGTATGCACATATAACGGTGTGTTGTTCGGTTTGTTGTATGGAACATGTTTGCCATTCTTCAGGTTGAGTGTTACGTCCAAAAAGTTCACGATTTTTTTGTTGGATTCAATTGTAATCTTCAGGCCGTGTTTAGAAAAGATAGAGCACAGGTCTTTTTTAATGTTTTCAATTTCACGTGGTTTCGCATCAGATACACCATATTTATATATGTATATATATTTGATATAATAATATATATATATATATATATATATATATATTATTTGATATATATATATATATATATATATATATATATATATATATTAATGTATGTATATATATCTATTTGATATATATATATATATATATCTATTTGATATATATATATATATATATATATATATATATATATATATATATATATATATATATATATATATATATATATATATATATATATATATATATACACACACATTTATATATATATATATATAATACATATACTATACATACACACACACCAATAAATGCACAATCTGAGAAATTCAGTAATATAACCTTCAAGGTCAAGGTCATTAAAGAGCCAAGCAAATTTGGGTTTGATAAACAACAAGGTCTGGTCCTTAAGAATGTTCTGTTATAATATGAAGTTTATCCTTCAAAAATAGCAAAGTTACAGTCAGTTACCGCCAAAACAATGAAAATTTCAATAATTTGACCTTCAAAGACAATGTCATTAATGAGTGAAGGTCAAGGTCTTTCGGTATATTTTAACAGTTATCTTTGAAGATTATTATGTTCAAGTTTGAAGACAATCCATTCAAAAATAACAAAGTTACAGCCAATAATAGCCAAAAAAATGAAAAATTTTCAATAATTTGACCTTCAAAGTCAAGGTCATTGATGAGTGAATGTCAAGGTCTGACTGGTTATTTTTAAGGGATATCCTTGAAGATTATTATGTTCAAGTTTGAAGACAATCCATTCAAAAATAACAAAGTTACAGCCAATAACAGCATGAACAAGCAAAAATTGGACTTTTAACCTTGAAGGTCAAGGTCATTTATGGATGAAGGTCAAGGTTAGTGTGGTCTACTGAAAGGTCTTGTCCCAAGGGTTGTTGTGCCAAGTATGAAGACAATACACCAAGAAATAAAAAAGTTATGATCCAGGTACAAGTTTTCGGACGGCAACGGCAACGGCAATGGCAACGGCAACGCCGACCTGACTATAACAATACCTCTACTTTTTTTTTCAAAAAAAAAAAAGTCGAGCTAAAAATGTCCCATGTCAATACATGTTTTTAATATTCTATTTATAATATATGTTGTCTTTCCTTGATACAGGTGTTCAGTCTAAGTGTGTCGTACAATGCCATGTTGACAGTGATCTTGGCTTTCACAGTGGCGTTTGCCTCTCGTCTTATCCTCGATGAAGTAGTCAAGCCATAGATATCCAAACAACACTATCTTCCTTCATGCATTCCAGATAATAATTCCATAAAAAAGACTTCGAACTTTGATGCAGATGAAACAGCCTCAATAACTCTGACATCACTTAATGATATTATCATGATTTGGTCTCAAGGGACATTTTTGTGGGTTCTTAAGATCAAGGATTGTCTGGGTGTTTTTGTTGTTTGTTTTTTTTTGTGAAAAAGTAAAACCTAAATGATGTAATGAAAAAAAATCTGATCGCAGATGAAAAGAAATTTTGTTGCATCTTAAATATGTAAAGTGACCTATCCATGAAAACCACAAAAATTAGTGCCCCGTGAACAATGATTTTGTCGCACCAATGTGATAAAATATTAAAAGGAAAACAATATTCAATCCAGAATATAAATAATATCTAGAAGAATAAGATGGTGATACTCCACAGATTTGGTACCAAGGACCAGTTATTAATACTCAAAAGCATTTAAAAAAAATATGTTTGACCAATTCAGACTTTGTTATATTGCTAATTTGGAAACTTTGGGTTTTCATTTTGGGGTTTTATACTATTAAATGAAAATTTTTATAAAACTATAAAGTAAAGTTTCTTCAAAAAACCTTTTAAAAAAAAAATTTTGTTGGTTTTATTTTGCCCGTGAGTTTTAGCGTTAATGATTTGATTTTTTTAGTTAATTTGTGATATCTTTTAGCTCAAATACTCAAAATGTTGTTTTTCAAAATGTAGTTTTTTTTAAGGTGATAGTTATACATTTTTTTTTTGTGTCTAAAGTTCAAAATTGGTTAAAATAGTACAATGTAATTTCATATTCATTTACATATAAAATTTACATTTTGTTAAAGCATTGAATGTTTACTATTCCAGCCATGTGACACATACAGTACAGTCATGTGACACATACAGTACAGCCATGTGACAAATACAGTTCAGTCATGTGACACATGCAGTACAGCCATTTGACAAATACAGTTCAGTCATGTGGCACATGCAGTATAGTTATGTGATACATGCAGAACAGCCATGTTAATCATGCAATACAGCCATGTGACACATACAGTACAGTTATGTGATACATGCTGTACAGTCATGTGATTTATATAATTGATTCAATCTGTATTAAGATTTGTTACTGATGTATGTAAAGAATCTTTTTTGTGATATTCTTACAGGCTATTGTTTGCCAATTTATACCAATTAACATTCCTAGAGATCGTAGTAACATACATGTAATTTGATAGAATCAAATTCCCATTAACATGAACTTAATGTTTTTTCTTCTTGTTTTGTTTATATGTATTGTTTGAAAGCAATCTGAATAATGTTACTTTATTGTATTCAACAATATGGCATTACATTGAAAATTAATTTTTACATGTTAAAAACCATTTTGATCAATTTATTCACTGTCAAGCTTAGTTTAATTAGTCATATAATTCAAAAGATTGAGTATCTTAAAGAGGATTGGACAATTATAGTAATTGATGATTACAAAGGTTTAGGATAAAATATAAAAACTGCCTAAAATATAAAAAGACTGCCCCACTCTTCATTACCAATATTTTCATAAGGATATTTATAGATATTTATGTGTGTTACTGGGGTTATTATGTACATTTTGTATTTTAGTGCATTGTTGCTTTCATTTTCTCTATTACTAGTTAAAGGTACATCTTGTTTTAAATATCACATACTTCATTAGGTTGCTGGGATTTTTAAGCTCAATTTTGTGATATTATTATTGTAATAAAGGCACTTGAATATTCTTATTTTTCATGATAGGAAATGTAACAAAAAGGTTCATCCATATTTAATACTCGTTCGTAAAATACTCATGAAATATTAAACAAATATGAACTTAATATTGACCGCGGCGATAGGCAGGGTCAATATTAATTTTTTCAGTACATATCACATCATATTCAACAGCTAAAAAGTACATATCTGTTTTATTATATAATTTTTAAATAGCTTTTATATGGCTTATGAAATCTACCGTTGCATATGACGGAAATAGTTATTTTTCAGAATGATGTGGCCCTTTCTTTTAAATGAGCGCATTGGCACGCTAATTTGTATTGTTCTTAAAAATAGAAAGTCGGTAACTAAATAGACTAATTTGACTCTTATTTACGAGTCATTTAACATTTTTTTCTGTATAATAACAACAAACTATGCGTGACGTCACATCATAGTCTCGCGTCTTTCAGGGGATTTCCAGAAAATCTATTTTTAGGAGAAAAAACAGTGAATATACCCTGAAAATCTATTTTTTGGGGAAAAAAACAGTGAATATACCCTGATATTGACTGGTTATTTTTATAAAAAGTTGCTTGTTAACCTGAATCAGGGAAAGGCATTTTCAAAGCTATTTATAGATTATATAATTATATACTTCATATTTTTTACACTCTTGAATATTGCATCAGGTTTTGTGACATTTACGAAGTTAAATATGAAAATTTCAATTTTAAAACGGAATAAAAACAAAAATTTTTAAGTTAATTTTGAAAAAAAATTGGTTTTAAAAAAATGAATTCAAAAAGTTGAATTTGTGTAGACCTACATTTTATCATGCAAAAATTCATTTAAAAGTGCACTGTTATTTATTGTACATTATTTACGTATTTGGTATAAAAAGCTTTGAATTCTTATCATACTGCATTTATACTTTATTTGATATACAACCATTTTTTCAAGTGAAAAAATTACATTCAGATCAACTTTCTGTATTTCACGACTGGTTTTGTTACAAATGTGTCTTGACCTTTTATTCATTTAGCTTGCCTAAAAAGATATGAATGCCCTCGAGAGGAGTGTTTGTAAGAAAAAATAATTCTTTTGATTATGTTGACATTTTCTTTACTTATAATAACAGAAATTATAAAATAAAAGGGAAATTACACAAATGATTATGTTCTGGTAGATTGTATCAGTCTTATTACCTTGTCTGTTTTCGAAGAAAAACTCGAGCTATCATGGTCCCTGCAGCATTGTTGTCGTCAGGCAAAATCTTGAATAAAGCCAATCATTAAACAACATGAAACTGGGAACACTTGACAAGATGCTGTTGTAAGACAAGGGGCATTATTCTGAATAAAAGTGTTATTTTATTATTGAATATGTTTGATATGGATGTAATGTTCATTAAGAGACTGAGAATGTTCATGTACCACGGATATGTTCTATATATAGGAACTGTTTGTGTACCAAATTATCATGTTCTATATATAGGAACTGTTCGTGTACCAAATCATTATGTTCTATATATAGGAAATGCGCAGTAAGGATTTTCATGTACCCAATATGTTCTATAAAAAGGAAACTTGTGTTCGAATGTTCATGTACGTAATATGTCCTATATATAGGAAATGTTCTGTAAGACAGTTCATGTACTGAATTTTTCTATACAAAGGAAATGTTTTGTAAGGATGTTCATATACCGAATATGTCCTATATAGAGGAAATGTTTTGTACGATTTTACATGTAATATGTTCTTTTTACAGACTGATAATGATAATTATGTTAGAATGTTCATATACTGTGTTATGTTAAAAAATGTCTTTTCATCTGTAGATAGTAGTTATGCTGTACTTGCCATACACATCGCTGTGTAATTTTTTGTACTTTCATGGAAACATTTATTTTTGTAACTTGTGCAATATTAAAGAATATTATTTTATATCATGTTGAAGTTTTTTACTGTTTTTTATTTCATTATAATATATCAGTGTTTATTCAATATTGTGAATAGTTCTTGATGTTCAATAATTTATTATTTATAAGTGTTGTCATTAGTGTTTAACAAGGTCATTTACACGACAAAAATTTTGCCCAATCCAACCTCATCAAAAAGTGTGTTAATTCCCCTACCATTAGCATAATTTACCCATTCAGAAAATTCAGTTTGAAACTATAGAAATAAGTGTTCTTGACATTAAAAAAAATGTTGACTGATACTCATTTTAATCTCAGGTTCTAATAATAGCCAAAAGTATCACAATTTTGTTCGAGGCAGTTTTTCTACCTTAAGGGACCCCACTTCCATTTTCCATGCTGGAAAAAAAATGGTTTTGTTCCCCATTTTTTATGTTCATTCCTGATGTTTATACAGAATTTATTTCAGTACGATTGTGTAGGAAGCTTTGAGCTTAAAGACACACTTTCTATTCTGTCACTGGAACCAACCAGTACTGCATGAACAATGAGTGTACTTTTCTTGATCAAGGAAGTGTCTCACCCCTGACTTAATTGTTTAGTTTTCCCAGCTAAGTACAAACAAAATTTTACAGCTCTGAAAATCTGCTCATACAGTTGGAAAAATCTCTTGTGAACTGTAGTGCACTTTAAAAGTTGAAATGGTTAAAGTTTGGTTGTACCAGGGGAGGGAAAACCCCACCTTTCACAAGTTCTGGATAGCAACTATTACTGATGTTAATTCCAAATTTTTTAATCATTCCAGAAGCATGTTAAGCATAAAATGTTCAGATTATTTTGAAAGCTCAAGAGTTTAATATTTAAATGTTATTAACATCAATGTCATTTCCTCCTGTTATTATTGTGTCTGTGATATCATATGTACTAAAAGTTGGTTGATTTTGTCTCGAACATCGAATTGTCTCCAACTCTGAAAATGTCTTTGAGTTATAAAACTTTGACGGAGGGAAAGGTTGAAGCATTTGAAGTAATGCAAATCTGTCAAGTTCTGTAGACTTTCTTAATATTTTGTTCCTTAGGCTTCAATGTGATAAACTTTTTTTTTCAGTCTATGTCCAAGTTATATAACTTGAAACCTCCTGAATTTCTTAAGTGGCTGGAGGATGAAAATTTGAAGTTAGTTAGCCATCAGTGTAGAGCTTCTTCTAAGACAGCATGAATGTTGCTGGCTGGCCTGGCATTATACAAGTGGTAAAAACTTACAACTTTTAGTTCCTGTTGGATAAGGGTTAAATTTATTATACTGTGAATTCACTTATATTCATGGACATGGAATTTTGTGGTTGTATCAAAATGGGCATTTTCGTGGGTTCTTAAATTTGTGGATTTTCATTCAAAAAATGAAATAAGTATAAATAGCCTTGTACAAAGTAATTTTACATTTAAACGCCACCCTTTTTTATTTTACGCATGTACAGATCTTTACGAACTTGTATGCTTTTTTCATGTCATAGAAAGTTCATTTTGCTTTATTGATCATTTGTTTTATTCCTTTAATACTCATATATATGGGAACAAATTATTATTGTTATCCCCTGGCAAAGACAGAGGGCTAAAGATGTGGTGTCGTCGGTCATAACTTTGGCCCTTTCACCAATCTGTTGCTATTTTACTGGAGCATAAAACTTGGAAGCTATTTCCGTAAGAAACTTTAAACCTTTATAAACTTTCTTTTTTTCAAAATTTTTGAGTTATAGATCTTTGATATTTTTCATTTGAATTTTTTTGCGAAATAAGAGTTATCAAGTTGAAACTTTACATATGTATAGATCTTATTACAAAGTGCAGTACATAAGGACCATAACTCAGAAAGGTATATATCCTTTGCAATTTTTCATACCATCCTATTATTTACATACTTTAAATTGAATTACCAAATGCATTAATGAAAATTAATATCTTAAACGTTATTATTGTAATGCGATGCCCTTTCATTTGACACTGCTCATATTTGTGAATTTTGCAACATACATGTAATAATGCTCCGAGGTAAATAATACAAGAGTGGTTTGCTTTGTCCGATACAAGATATCAAGTCAATGAATTTGCTTGTATGTACTTGTATTTTAACATTGCTCATGTACTGAAGTAGTACTTTTTTCTAATAGAAGTATTCACTCGTTTAAAACTCTATGCTTCTATAAAATAAATTTTAAAGGCTATCGTTTTGTTTTTATTCTTGACTTTTTTTCATGCATGTTTGTGTGCGTTTCTAGCAAGTCTTAGGGGGGAATGGCCCTAGTACGACAGCAATACATGTAGTTTGGTTGGGTAAAATTGTTTAAATTGGTGCAAAACTAAAGTTTAATAAACATTTTTATAAAGGGAAGTAACCTCCTACTAGAGTGGCTAATTTCTGTTCATAGAATATGGAGCCAAACAATATCATATGACGAACAAGTGTCAAGATACTAGTTAACTAAAATACAGAAAAATCCACCTCATTTTATACAGTTGACAGTAGGATTAACATATGGCCTTACAGCAGTGTGTAACAATTTGCATGAAGTGTAAAGCTTGAAGTTGAAGCCATGTATGCACATCATTCTTAACCATAAATCATATCTCAACACTTATGTCATAAATATCAAGACAACTATTTATTAATTTTGCCATTTGAAAATATTTTTGACTTTAATGAGTTAAATGATACATGGAAATTTTTTATTAGCCATACATCTTGACAAACTCACTTTTTTAAAAAATTTTGTTAGGGTTCTATATTGCACCAGCTTTATTGGAGAAGGATGGCCTCGGGTTGCATGTACATAATTTCAGGCATTTAGCTCACTCGGGTAGAACCAACATTCCGTAAGCTAACTGGATAGCTTTCTCATTGGTGGGAATCAAACTGACAGCGTTGAGGGGCAAAAGGTCTTGTCAACGACCTTACTCACTATGTCATTGACACCTCTCAACTTACTAATAAAACATTTCTAGAAATCATGTTTTGCACAGATATTTCTGCAAGCAAAACAGATTATTACTCGTAATCCCATTGAAACACTCTAAAAGAAAAATCTGTTGACAACAAACACAGAACTAGGGATTTTTCTCTTTATTTTTTTCCAGCACTGAAGGTCCATGTGTACAAATAATTTAAACCATATTTCTCAATAACGGGTTTATCTGGGCGTCACGGAGTCCACAATCCCCACCATCATTGAAATGGTTGTATTTACGTCTCCAGCCTCCGTTTGGTGTGTTTAGCTTGAATGGCCAGAGGAAGTTGGCGGCCTCTTTGAAGTTAGGTCCTACAGTTACGATCTCATGGATCAAGTCTTCCATACAGATGATACCTTTGCTTCCTGCAAAATTGTAATATGATTACTGTTAGTAGGTTTGCAGATCTTGATTTATTTTATGGTTGGTAGGTTGTACAATATAGGTCATATGGCAACTTAACAGCTTTACTGGTGGAGCAAGACTGAGCATTATTTCAGGCACAAATGGGCATTCGAGTAGAACCACTGGTAAGCTAGCTGGATAGCTTTCTTACATGAAAGAATCCAAAGCTGCTTGTGCCACTCGAACCTACAGCAGTGAAAGGAAAGTGGTTTAAAGTCATGACCGTAACCACTCGGCCACAGATGCCCTGTCACAGCAAACCTCTTTACTTGCAGGGCTCCCTTATATAATAGATCATGGAAGTATTATATAAGTTTTGATGACAAGGAATGACTTCAGGTAGTTTGTTTGTTTCATTTTACGCCTTTTCTTAACAGTATTTCAGTCATATAGGCAGGTAGTTTCCTAACCATCATTCCTGGAGAGTTACACCAGTACTAGACTACATTCCTCTGCGCTAAACTACCAAAGCATCTCCCGGGGATTGAACCCACGCCAGAGAGGTAACTGGATTAGAAGTCATCGACTCTAACCCCTCGACCACGGAGGCGGTCAACTTCTAGTAGTAGAAAATATATTGTCCTTTGTGACAGGACCAACTGAAAATTTACACATAACTTTTGTAGAAGACTACAATGTGATGGTACATGCAAAATATCTAAGCACTGACAATTGTGCTTATGGAGAAACTAAGAGATAATTTTCTACTATAAATTTTTATGTAAACTTAAGTGGCTCCTAGGACAAGGTCATTTTTTGACTAACGGCATCTTAGCTCTGGGCATTAAGGTTTCCGAGGAGATTTTTAAAGTAGCTCAGTCATGTCCATCAGACTGACCACCTAATATATTCCTTCGAGACAGAGATGTTGTTTACAGAAACTATGGATTACTACAAATGACAGACACACTGCTTAGTATCAAAAAGTTCACTTCTGAGCATTTTGTGATATTCAAAAACAAAGTGTTTTACCTAGTACTTTCTCAATGATGGAGTTATCTGTAAGTGGTATTCTTCTGCCATTGACTTTTCCATACCCTCTCTTGTAGATCAATTCTCGGACACTCTTCAAATTGGGGTATCTGTCCAAGAAATAAAATATCGTTGAAAAAATATAAGACATTTTAATACAGAAAGGTCTGAAAAAAATCTTACTTTTAAACAAAGAGGAGTAAAAAAATAATCTTTTTTATTCCCTCAAGTATTCCTTGTTCTCTTTAATGTGTAATAAAAATGCACACCTCTGAAGTTGGAACAGTGAAGTGTCCATATCCAGTTATAAAATTTTGACTTTTAAATACTGTAATGCAGTTAAACATGTAGAGTTAAACATGTAGAGAGCAGTCTAACTGCACATAAAGTTAAAGGTCTTGTTTGTTTGTTTCATTTTACGCCTTTTCCAAACAGTATTTCAGTCATATAGGCAGGTAGTTTCCTAGCCATTGTTCCTGGAGTTACACCAGTACAAGACTACCTTCCTCCGCGCTAAACTACCAAAGCATCTCCTGGGGATCTAACACACGCCAGAGAGGTAACTGGATTAGAAGTCATCGACTCTAACCCCTCGACCATATAAAATGACCTTCCAAAACATAAATTATTGTAATATATCAACATATAACCTACTGTGACTAGCGTTTGCAGTCAGTATACTAGACCCATGAAAGCCCTACAGTTGACAAGTACTTATGGTAAGAAGGCTCTATACTGATCATGTAGGATTCCTACACCATTTTGAAATTCTATGATTTTGAATTACTATCAAAGTGTTTCAAATTCAAAGCAGGGCAAATCCATTAATCCATTACACAAATTTAGCAGATGAGTGGTTATATAAATGTCTAAGATAGGATCACAGATTAGAAACTTAAGGATTCCATGAAAACCTCAAAATTTCATACAAAATACAAAGATAAATATACATGATACAAAACTTGATGTGGAGTTCTTTTATAATTTTTAAAATAATACACTATCCAAACTGGTCCAGCCTTCTGCCTCAATGTAATTCAATTAATCCCATCTCAGTCAGCTTCTGTAAATTTTTTAAGACACCAATCACTTACCCCCATGTGATGAAAGGCTCTGCAATTCTCAGCATCTGTACTGTAGCTTTATTCAGCTTAATGAACACACCATTGTTGATCTGACGAAGTCGCAACAACTGTAAAATCTTCCTGGGACGTGGATGTACACCATTTATACTGCAAGAGATTATTTTACTCATTTAACCATAATAGACACATTTTATAGCAATGATTTAAACAAAATCACCCTTTTGGCATTTATAAACAAGAAACATCATAATTGTATAGAATAATTGTGTTTTAGCAGAATTTTAATTTAAACAGACATGAAATGAACATAAGTATATATCAATATTATTTGTGCATGATCAATATTTATCATCCGATATGGTCCTGGATAATGGATACTACACACTGAATCAGTAACAGCTCTACATATATTATGCATTAATGATTATGCAACACAGTATAATCAAATGCTAATTTTTTCATACATGTTACAATTTGAGGTCAGTGAAAGAAAATGTTTTGGATAATGATATAGATTTTGGGTAATGATATAGAATATTGAATTTGTTAAGTGTCTTTCCTATATATTTATATTAACATATTCAGCTTGTGAACCTTCTTCCATTCAAATTTTTCAGATACCAATACACCCTTATGATACATTTGATAGCAAGGAGTGAGGTGAAAATACTTGGCTTGTCTCAATGGAAACTATTTCAACTGGGGAGGGAAATTAATTGTAAACACAAATTGTGAATAGATATTCTGTAGACTGACTTTTCTTAGGATGCATGCATGACAAAAATTGAAGGGAAAGTTCTATTTAAGACCTCATGGAAAAGATCACAATGCATCACTTGGGTAAAGTTTCATTTTTTCTTCAATTACAATAACAAAGAATTAATTAAAAACAGGTTATTCTTCTAAAATAAATGCTGGCCAAAGTGACATGCAAGTTCAAAGACTGTCTGGATAAATTTAACCTACCCTCTGATTCTCATGACAAAAGCTAGTTTAGACTCTGCTGGAACATAGAAGTTGCCAGATTTCTTTGCCTGTCTAGCAAGATTAATCTCCGACTTGGCCTTGGCGCGGTATTCCTTCACATACTTCTCTGCACGCTTGAAGATGACTCTTTTCTTGTCTTGAAGTTTCTGATAATAAAATATACATGTCAAGCTCAATTATTTCACTTTATAAGTCAATTATTTGATCATTTACATTTGATGTTCGTCAATGATAAATGAACATGAATTAAGAAAAAAAAACATATCTGACTGAAACAAACAGAAGTTAATGTAGCCCGTTTGAATGAGTATTTAAAAATATGCAATCTTTAAACTAATTAAATAAAGTTTTTCTTGACCACTTGTCACAAACTTAAACAAGTTTTTGGGGGGTTTTTTTTGTGGACAGATTTTAACACATTTTTGTTCTAACTCTTTTCTTGGCAGTCCAGTCCACTTCCCAGATTTTCTGGATAACTAGCCAGTATTTAACAATTTCTCCTCAAATGACTATTTATCCAACATGATTTCTGAATTAGTTGCGAGATACAAATGACTTTCAATGACCAAGATCACAATGTAACCGAGAAATTAACCTTGTCAAAGGAGCAAACCAGTGACCCTTGAATTACAAATCTAATGCCGTCTTTATTGAGCAAAGCTGGCACCCAAATCATTTCAGAAATGAATAGACTGATCATTTGAAGTTCTCCTAATTAGATTACCTTCTTTGATGCTAGATTGGCCTTGATTTGCTTGGCCCGGGCTTGTTCATTCTTCTTCCTTCTTTTAAGAAGAGTTTCTGGTACCTTCGGCGCCTGCTTCTTGCTGAAAATGTAAATTGCTTTTTAAAACTACAATGTTTATAGTATAGTCATTTTCTCTTCTGACAGAACCTAACTTTCAAAGTATTGTAAACTTAACTTGAGGTAATCACAGTATCCACTTTTTTCAATATCAATTCAACAAGATTAAGACATGTAATGATGTATACAGAATGTGAAGTACGTAAACATCATGAAATCCAAGTGGTAACAAGGAGTTGAAGTCATAACTACCGGCTGTACAATACCGTCAGTGTGTGAAAGTGTCCTTCAATTCAAATTTTTGAGGAAAGATGTTCATCATGTTGACAAATTAAAAAGCACTTTCATATTTTGTGGATAATACAGAAAATTTTAAGTGTAAACCTAAATGTTTGTAGGAAACAGATTAAGAAGAAGATTAAAACAAATAACGGTCTGAACAATTCATCAAAAACTATGCATATCAAATTCAAGCTACAGTTAAACAAATCCAAACAAGTTATATAGTTATTATGAACCTTTAAACGACAGGTTTGCTTGCAAAAAAATTCTAGAAGGAAACTGATTTAGAATAAATGCCGCTATACTTTGCTAAAGCAAGCAATTAATTATTAAATTATCATTTAATTTGGTCGATTAGATAGATAATTAGACGGATGTCAACAGATAATGGAGACCAAGCATAAAACTTACGTGTTCGCCATATTTACAATCGGGAAAGAGGTAAATTACCGGAAGTCAACCACTAACTTCCGTAAAATGAAATAAATTGTGTATGACAGCTCTAGTGTATGATTTAATTCGATAACTATATGGTTTTATTTATCAATTGAACAATTTGTGTTCTCTTAATATTGAAAGTAATGAAAAATGGGTAAACTTATATATGTGACGAATGTTTGAGAATAAGGTAAGGAAATTGCTATATCCTGTAAAAGCACGTTAAGTAACCGGATATCAAGGGACCGGTCCAAGGCCAATTCAAATAAAATATCGGCAGACTAGTCAAATCGCCCCCCAGTCAGATCGGCCCAAGTCGAATCGGTCCCAAAGTAGTCAAATCGGCCTCAAAATGGGTCAAATCGGCCACACAACATTTTAAAAAGTCAAAACTTTCGTACTATACTGTATGTAAATATAGTAAACCAGTTTGAGGCTTAAATCTGAATTCCACTGTCCTTTATGAATTATACTGTATATTATTTTATGTTATCACTCTTCAACTTTAAACATCAACTCTGTCAAACTCCGATGAGACACGAAATATAATATCTTAGCTATCTGCTTTTTTTCCCCAGAAATTTTCATTCTGTGGTGACGTACACTGTTTAAATTAGGACCATATAACCTGTCAGGAATCTTTATTACTAAAGATATAAATAAGTTTTTAAATTCAGGCCTACATTTTCTATTGAAATTAATAACAAATGAGATAAAAATAAATGTCACCGTGTTTTCCTTATCAAAATATACTGTATGTTTGATAAGTCACATGTATCTTACATAGCAAACATGATCTGTGCAGGGTCTTTATATTTGCACAGACATTTATATATACATATATTTAGCTCCATGATATTTGGGATGCCCTGATATGTACAGATTTTTCATATTTGGAATTACCTTAAATGTGCGAAAACTAGAGAAAAATGTAAAATTGTAAGAACAAAATACATTTCTGCTGTAGATCTAGATCTGTTATATAGCAAGTTCACATACTGAAGTAAAAGACTGCGCAACATGAAATTGAATTGTTATAAATTATATGAATGAAGTCAGTTTCGTGAACCCTGGTGGTATTTTAATGTTTCCTCTGTCTATTTATTAAAGATTTTAGCCAATGTCTAAGACCGTCCAGGACCAATCTTAGGCCGAAATCTAAAGAAAATTATTTTTAGAATGATAAGCTGTTACACCGAATAATTTCCATACATTTCAGATTTTTTTTTCTTCGCGTACAAGTACATTAAGGTTAAATATGTAGGATTATGAGATGGCGATTATCTCGTTTCTTTAATATACAGTAAATATTTATTGACATTGATATGGATTAAGGACAAACTTCATAGATTACGTCACAACCACGTCCTATTATATAACACACAACTAGCTGTATCTGTTATCTGGAAGTGACTATAAAAAAAAAAAAAAAAATGTGTGCTCACATTTTAAAGCAGTATGTTATCAAATGTTATAATATTTAATTGACTTTTGCAAAAAAATATCTAGACAATACACAGTGTTTTTTTTAAGGAATAAATAAATACCACATTATTTCCATTTCTATTTTAATAATAAAATATGCGAAAGAAGCGAGTTAAAAGGTCAAGTTAAAAGCGTTCATTTCTCTCATTCCTTATACAAACATGACATAATATGGTGACAAAAATAAAAGTACAATAAGGCTCAAATAGCAATTAAGATAAGGTTATAATGACGCAAGATTTTAATAGTAAATAAGTAACAACTACGTGGAGAGCTAAAACTGTTCTGTATATTTATTAAACATATGAGTAAAACTAAATTCCGCATATTATAAACAAGCAAACACTTTCAATTAATATATTGCAATAAATTTTCATTCAGCAAAATTCCCGGAGAGAGACACGCTTCTTTAATTTTTACAAAACCATTCATTGACGGGTTTTATCACTGACAATCGGGTTAAAGGTCACGCGGTTAAAGGTGAAACAGCTGATTAAAAACAAACTTTTTCAGCTGAACGATGACACTCGTACACAGAGACTGCTCGATATTTATACAGCGACACAATATTGGAATACGATGACTGAAGATACACCTTTAAGTATTCTTGTAGAAGGAGTGCACGTGACATATACAGTGATCAAAGCATTGATATTATCAATATTCAGATTTTTCGTACCAGCAAATAGGAAAAGTGTTCAGGGAGAGATTGTATTAGTTACTGGAAGCGGCGGTGCTATAGGGAGCCGTATATGCACTGAATTTAGTAGATTAGGGGCCACGCTAGTATTATGGGATATTAATGAACGTGCAAATGAACAAACAGCCGAGAAAATAAGAACAAGTGGTGGAAAGTGTTTTACGTACACTGTAGATGTTGGGTACGTTACTGTATATATGTAATTTTTATTTTAGTACAACATTGTCATCTTGTAAGACAGGCATTACTTATCTGCTTATTTTTAACCAGTCTGTTGTCTACTTTATTTAAAGTATTGTCTACTGAATTTAAAGTTACGTTTTTATATTTCTTTTAAAGAAATATAAAGTATTAAACAAGTATACTACATGTAGCTGTATAGAACTATTTATATAAGCAATTATTAATATAAATGCTCGATTACATTTCGTAAATTTTAAACAATTTTAATAGGCAGCTTCCACTGCTCTATGTACTTGTGTTTTGGGAAACTATGTTGGTATGTCCAAAATTAATCTCACATAAAAGATTCGTTGATGGAAGCTACCCTTGTAGATAAGATACATATCTCTAGTCCAACGAACTACGGGCTATTTTGTGTATGGGCAATACGTACCTTCCCTCTACAGCATGATTTTGTACACATATATCAGAATGTAGCTTTGGCAGGTCAATATATTTCGACTAGATACATCTCTTGCATTATTTTGGAAATGTGTGTACAGCCTAAACTGTTGTTGTATTTTTTTTTCGCAAAGACACTGATTAACCTTATGGTTTGACCCTGTCCTCTTCCATCCAAGTTAATACTCGGCAACGTTTTTAGAATGTTCACACGACGTGCTGGCATTTGTTAAATATATAATCATAAACTTGTTTTGAGAAAATTTCTCAAGGATTAGAAAAATCACATTTACCACCACCGATACCATGGCTAAATAAAGAACTTTACTTCGAGCTTGTTTAATATTTGAGGAAATTAAACATGCACAAGTTCTGTGATGCCATATATACGTATATACCTGTTGTATTGTATTAAGTTTGTGATAGTTGCCAAGAGTGGTGCAATAGAGCAAGACCCCATAGTGTCTGTATTCTTTTTGTCTCATAAAGTACACCATGTACCTTTAACACAAAGTGTCTGTATTTTTTATCTCATAAAGTACACCATGTACCTTTAACATAATGAATATATCCTTCTTGTGGGGTAATTTGATAGAGAGAAAAAAGACTTGTCTTAACATTACTTCAGCTTATTTACCACAAAACGAAATTAATGTGCTTTGAGTAACTTTCTTAAATTTTGCAACAGTTCTCGGATGACTGCATGCATATTAAATGATAATCCCTGTTTCAATAAGGAAGACGATGTGATATTATGAGCTTAACCATTTCTTAAAATTAATGAAACAAGATTCATATTTAATAATTTTAGCATGTTTAATGGTTTGCTTTGTTCATACTATTGACTTTTCTAGTGGTGAAGATAGTTTCTTTAATATACCATATATAATCAAATTTCGAGAGATTATTCTTTTGAAAATCCATGCGAAACAGGCCTGAAAAAACATCACTGCACGGAGTTCGGAAATACTTTAATCATGATAATTGCATTAGAAGAAAACAAGTGATTCTCTGCCTCCATGGTTTTCAATCTCAGACTCGGAACATCAATCGTAAATGTTCGGCCCTTTCCGACAATATACTGTTCTGTGATTGAATGTGAGATAATGCAATCCATTGTTACTGAGAAAAACGCATCTCATCCCTTTCCTGTTTATGTTGTTGATGATGTTTTGATCAATTGTTTTCTTTTATCTTAACACTGATTGACCAAAGTTTACCGTGCGTTTCAGTTTTCACATATATTTAACACATTTACTGGTTTTGCTGGCAAATTATATGCTTTTAGTTTATCAGTTAACTAAATGTATGTAAAGAAATAAAAGGAATTTTGCAAAATATCATATTTCTTTCACATATACGAGGACGTGCTGGTGAGAAATCGACCATTTGTCCCTCTCTCAATTGTGCGACTAGTCCAAGTGTGATTTATTGAACGAAAAGTTCGCGTTTTTTTTTTCGTACTCGAGTAAATTTATGCTGACAAGGTTCGCTTTGACTGATTTCTATAACACAAGTTATTTTATAAGCCTTACATTAATTTCATGCTTTTAAGTCATTGTAATACGGAGTTACCGAGTTACTCATTAGTGGAACATTGATTTTCTATCATTGTTCAGTGTATATACTTGTAGTAATGAAACTTCATGATGACACGTGAATTTCTTCTGGGAGAGTCACGTGGAGGAACTGCTACACTAATATACGAGTCAATGCGAACATCTCAGGAAAATAGACATAAGAGTCGCACGTTCAAGTTCTGCTATTGACATAGGCTTTTAACACTACAATTTGGTTGACAGATTGTCAATGAAAACACCGCTTATTGACAGTTCTTCTGGCCGGCATCTAATTATGATTCAAATATTGTAAAAACTTGCACTAATTCTTACAAATCGTAGAAAAGTTCAAAATACATTAAACAAGTAAATGAGAAAGTAGTTTATACAACAAACCGTGCATTCAATAATCTGACAGAGTAGGTTCAATCTGTGACGAGATTGGATGAGCAAAGCTGTACACTTAACGGATGCAATGTTATTCCCGGGTGAGAAACATATACATGTATATACATACAACATGCAATTATTGCGTGTTAATTTGTTAACTATACTTAACAACTCTCGTTTTGTGGTCAATAGTATTGATCTGAAACATTAATTCGGTCATTTCTGAGACAGATGATTATATGCGAGGTATTCCAAATGCATTCAGAACAAAAGTTGCCATTCTGTAAATGTGCTATGTTGAAATTGTTTCTAACTTGTTTTTTTTATGTTCTTTAAAGCATGCCCCTGATGAGCCAACATATTTCAAGAAAATCAAACTTGTGGTAAATGTATTAATATTTTAAGAAGAAGTATGTAAAAATATAATTTACATGCTATAAGCGATTAAGGCAGAACTGACAGTATTTATCAGCATGTTTCTATACTGCGTGACTAACGCAGTAAGTGTTATTTTTGCATATTTCGACCCGTGATACGTGGATTGTAAGTGCCGTTTGCAATGTGTATCTTTCTTTTTTGCTCACTTACAATATTTTACTTTCAAACCCATTTTTTAAATTTTCATGAAAATAAGCATGGATTTGGAGGCCTGCTGCTTTAAAAATCGAGTTAAAATGACTAAGGCTTTTCAGTAAAAGTGCATTGCTTTTCAAAATATTTTGATGAGATATTTATGTGAATGTAAGACATAAATATTATTTTACCGGTAAGTCATTGAACCTTGATACATATACAACAATTTTGTGTGTTAAAATATTTAAGTCAACTTGACTTTTTACATTTCTTTCTTTACAATATGCTAATATGATATTTTAACAATACGCGGATATTTTTATGGTTTATGGTTTTATTTGCAGTAACCATGACGATGTCTATAAAACAGGTCAGAAAGTCACGGACGAGGTCGGAGAGGTGACCATACTCGTTAATAACGCTGCCGTCGTGATAGGTCGTAAATTGTTAGACTGTCCCGACCATGAGATTGAGAAAACATTTGATGTTAACTTACTCGCACAGTTTTGGGTATTTCTTTTTCGGTCATTTTGCCTGTATTTTCCATTTTTATTTCAAAAATGCATGTGGTAGTAGAGAAACACATGAAGGCAGGGTTCGGTTTGGCACTAGTCGATGCACTGCGCATGCCAAGTTTCGGTGATCACCAAAACCTGGGAACCAGAGAGACCGCGCTTATGGTGATGCTTCGACTAGAGTAAATTCGTGACGCCACTATAGTCAAACTAGTGTGTGGAGTCGAACTACTGCACATGTGTCCATAGTAAGCGCCCGAACCCTGTCACTGTGACACAGGGTATTTCACGGTACGTCAAGCATACATATTAAATGCAAATGAGCCACTCGAATCCACGATGGTTGTATTTGTAAACAGTTTTTTTCACAAAGGAACCTGCAATTTTTAGTTTTAATAAATACTTTTACTAGTGTTCTCGTTGCATAAAGTTCAAGGTGTAACTCTAAGGTCGATAACTTTCGGTAACTTGTCCTTCAACCGCTTTCCTATGGGTGTCGCATTTTCTACTTACTTATTTTAATAAGGTTATGCTCTGCTTGCCAAGAGCTTTTTCTCACAATTTTATTCAACAACTTAGTGCAGAAAATGTTATAAATGTTAAACAATCATTTTATACCATACAGATATATCCTGTTACATTTGTATGCAATAGGATAACCCGCTACTGTTGGCAATGTTTCAAATAGCAATATATTATTTTTTGGCGCTTTAAAATGTTAAGATGTATTGGCTATCTGACATGGCCTTGGTTAAATCAATCAGCCTAGTTTCATATTTGAATTAAATTGTCTTGTTATTTATAATGGTACAAGAAAAAACCCACTTAAAGTACGTTAGATCCGAATAATTCAGTATTGCAGATACACGTAACTAGATCTGTATAATTCAGTTTTACAGATACACGTAATTAGATCTGTATAATTCAGTATTGCAGATACACGTAATTAGATCTGTATAATTCAGTATTGCAGATACACGTAACTAGATCTGTATAATTCAGTTTTACAGATACACGTAATTAGATCTGTATAATTCAGTATTGCAGATACACGTAATTAGATCTGTATAATTCAGTATTGCAGATACACATAATTTCATTTGTATAATTCAGTATTGCAGCTACACGTAATTAGATCTGTAAAATTTAGTATTACAGATACACGTGATTAGATCCGTATAATTCAGTATTACAGATACACGTAATTAGATCTGTATAATTCAGTATTACAGATACACGTAATTAGATTCGTATAATTCAGTACACGTAATTAGATCTGTATAATACAGTATTGCACATACACGTAATTAGATCTGTATAATTCTGTATTACAGATACACGTAACTAGATCTGTATAATTCAGTATTGCAGATACACGTAATTAGATCCGTATAAGTCAGTATTGCAGATACACGTAATTAGATCCGTATAAGTCAGTATTGCAGATACACGTAATTAGATCCGTATAATTCAGTATTACAGATACACATTATTTCATTTGTATAATTCAGTATTGCAGATACACGTAATTAGATCCGTATAATTCAGTATTGTAGATACACGTAATTAGATCCGTATAATTCAGTATTGCAGATACACGTAATTAGATCCGTATAATTCAGTATTGCAGATACACGTAATTAGATCCGTATAATTCAGTATTACAGATACACGTAATTAGATCTATATAATTCAGTATTGCAGATACACGTAATTAGATCTGTATAATTCAGTATATTAGATCCGTAAAATTCAGTATTGCAGATACACGAAATTAGATCCGTATAATTCAGTATTACAGATACACGTAATTAGATCCGCATAATTCAGTATTGCGGATACACGTAATTAGATCTGTATAATTCAGTATTGCAGATACACGTAATTAGATCCGTATAATTCAGTATTACAGATACACGTAATTAGATCCGTATAATTCAGTATTGCAGATACACGTAATTAGATCCGTATAATTCATTATTCAGTATTGCAGCTTGTATTCAACAAGTCGAACTAGTGTGATCACTGCAGCTTTGTCGTCGTTCTAAAACTCCAATGTGGCCAATCATTCAAATATTTCAAAAGTTAATAAACATGAAACTTGAAACACTTGCTTATCATGACAAGGTGTAGTTGTTAGACAAGGAGCATAATTCCTAAAGCACTATTTCTTTTGAGTTTTGCCATTTTAAACTTAGAATTTTTAACTTAGACGAGCGACGATACCTCATGTAGTGCTCTTGTTTTGTTTTCAGACAGTAAAATGTTTTCTGCCAGCCATGTTACGACGTAATCATGGTCATATCGTGAACATAGCAAGCTCAACGGGTCTTGTGGGACTGAAGGTAAGAGTGGCTCCAGATAATTTGTTATTGCATTTTTTATTCACGTGCATAATCTTAATTAACAAGTTACGCTATGTCACACTTTGTTTATGATTATTTGAGCGTTCAGCGTATTAAAAATATATTTATACAAAATGTATTATTAAGTATTTATCAAGATACCTTGGAAACAAGACCATTTGAAAGATACCAGTTAGAAATCAAGTAGCTTATGTTAAAGCAGCATACCTAGATTAATGCTCATTTTCATGAAAATTTATAACAAATGTATTAAATGTATTTAAAAGTAAAATATTGCGAAGGGAACAAAGAAGTAATTGTTGTACATAACAAACGTTACGTACGATCCACGTAAATTACCGAATAGAGGTAAAAATATGCAAAAATATCTGTTACTGCGTTAGGAACGCAGTAGAAATATGGTGATATATACTGCAAAATTGGTCATTAATCGCACTTGACATGTGAATCTGTACTTCAGTTTTGAATCTTTTTTTTTTACCTTTCTTCACATCTTTCTCAAATTCGCTTCTCTTGAAATATTTAATATATTTTGACTCATCTGGAGGCGTGCTATACTAGTATTTGTTATGTTAAAAAGAAGTTCGTTGACTGCATAGTCCCCAGGTGTGCGTGAGGATATAATATTTGAGCCGCGTCACGACAAAACCAACGTAATGGGTTTGCGACCAGCATGGATCCAGACCAGCCTGCGCATCCACGCAGTCTGATCAGGATCCATGCTGTTCGCTATCATTTTCTCTACTTGTTATACGGTTTGTAAGCGTAAGCTGGTCTGGATCCATGCTGGTCGCAAACCCATTATGTTGGTTTTGTCATGACGCGGCTCATTTGTCATATATCAGAGATTTTATCATTGCCGTCTTTACTACTTATTGAATTACAGATTTATTGATGTTAATCTTTACAAAAGCTCTTATAATACTTGCGGCAGTTATGTAACGGTGACATTTTTGAAACACATTACCGGTTGAAGAGTGGTTACGCTGTGGGTTCGTATCCCGTCAGAGACTTGATTTTTTTACACGTGGGGAAGCTATGCAGCAAGCTTCCTAAATGTCCCTTTAATTGTGCTTAAAATAATGCACAATGTGGCTTACTGCCGTGTTCCGGAGTGAAAACTACCAACACCACCACCACCAAAATAATGCACGGAGAGGCACCTAGTCACGAACAGAGTTAGTGTTTTACGATATGAAAAAAACCCAACTTCTATGATCCTATTCACGAACTGTAACTTTTTTTTTGTTTACCAGAATCTTTCCGACTACAGTTCCTCGAAATATGGTATTGTGGGCTTCACAGAGGTATTACATTATGAGATCATATTTTCCGGATACAGTGGTGTACATACGACCCTTGTGTGCCCCTCGTTTGTCAACACCAAGCTATTCGATGGCTGTAAATACAGGTAAGGGCAATGCTTTCCATTGAAGTCGGAGGTAACTTAATACTAGTGTGATGCAAGAGTTATGTGTCTTTGTAATTTTACACTAGTATATATTTTGTTATTTTAGTTTAACTCAGAATGACCGGAGACCGGAGTTTTTGCTTAAAATAAACCGAAATGAAAATACTTGAAACTTATATGCAAACATAAAAGTCAAAATTTGACCTTTTATATGTCTTTGATATGTTTTTTATACGCCTGAAGTATTATGTACGGCGATTTACGTCCGTCTTACCGTCCGTCCGCTCATCTGCCCCTAGAAAAAGGTTTTTTTGCATAACTTTTGAAGAATATTTATGGTTTGGTTTATTATTGGCATGTAAGTATATTATAATTACCAAAACACTGTTTAAGTTCGATTGTCGTTGCAATCAGCTCATTATTGAAAGAGTTATGCCCCCGTTTTAGCCGATTTTCTGTTTTCTGTTTATTCGCAGAATTAACTTTTGAAAGATTTCATTAATTGTGTTTATATTTGGCTTGCAAATATGTAACATGAAAACATAGATCAAGTTTGATTTTCTCTGCATACAGCTTATTGCAAAGTCAGTTAGAAATTAGTAAGGCAAATTACCAACTATTACTTATCTATTACGGTATCTTTTTCCTTACAAAAATAGACTGCACAGAAAATGTGCTTTAAAGAGATATAGCCAATTTATTGTTGTATATAGCATTAATAGTTGGATTTCCGACAAATGTAAAAGTACACTGTGAGTGTACTTTTACATTTACACACACTATAACTGCCATATACAATAATAAATTGGCTATCTCTCTTTAAATCCATGAAACTTTCTTGTAAATTTGTCATCGGGCGAAAATTGCCCCGCCTTAAAGCCTAGGTCACAAATAAGAAAATGCCGCCGGGCGGCGTCTGTTTCTCCAAAAAATCGCAAAATCAGCCGGCGTCCGTCCGGCGGCAGTGACTATCGGACGGCAGCAGCTGAAAATTTCTCATCGGGCGGGCGCCTTCGAGTTTTAAGTAATACTTAAAAGCTAACGGCGGCCGGACGATAATTTTTGGGGTCACTGAGTATAAATATAACCGAGCGGACATCGCTCGGTCGCCGGGCGACGACCGGGCGATGATTTTTTGATCGGGCGATTTTTTGTTCTACTAAAACACCGTCCGATTTAAAAGGCGTCCGGGCGGACATCGGCCGGGCCCCTGCCGGATGCTTGAATAGAGACAAGTAGTCTCAAACGTATTATCTGCACGTACCCGGACGATTCATGGTACAGCACCGGGCGGTCAATACCGTATTGTGCTGTATACGGACCGGCTGTCTTTGGGTCGGATGTTCTTAATACAGTTGATACAAGTAGTAATTGTCTTCAATATAATATATATTTTGAATTTTTTTGAATAAGCAGTAAAATCGAAATGAATTTCTTAGCAAATAGTCAAAATTTGACTTAATGTCTTGATATGTTTTTTAACGCCTGAGCCGGTTCGATTATCGGCCGATTTACGTCCGTCTAACGTCCGTCCGATCATCTGCCATTGGGGTTTTTGCTACTGTTTGAAGATATTATGTTTGGTTATATTGCAATGCTATTATATCCAAAGATGTTTTAATATGTCTAATAATCATTTTGAAAGAGTATGCCCCCGTGCCGTTTCTGTGTAAAGGTCGCGATTACTTTTTATAATTGTGATATTGGCAGCAAATGTAACGAAACATGGGATCGTTGATCCTGCACCAGATTGAAAGCAGTTCAAATTTTACGGCAAATAAATTCCATACGATCTGTTTCATTACAATGACCACGAAATGGTATAGATTAGATAAAGATCGACCAGGTAAGTCACGGAACAATTAAAAAACACCTTTACTGCCGATTTTATAAAAATTGCTTATTTTAAATCGACGGACTTTTGTAATTTGTAGGCGTAGGCTTATGGAGCTCTCTATTGTTATTTCTGTTTTTGTTCACTGTCTTAGTTTTATTAATTTATCTTTAAAGCTTGAACAAATGTATCAATATTCTTAAATCCTATTTTAATGCAAATGTTTGCTATCAAAACAACTCAAGTGAACTTTAGTTAAACTTTAATTTGAATTTCATGAAAAGAACGTTTACTTCAAGAATGAAACCCAAAACTCACATCGCGGTATGATAAAACAGAAATATGTCAAAATCTGTATTTTTTCTGACAAAATGTCATGTGCCATTCGCCAGGATGACCGATTCACCCTTAGCGTTCGTGAACATTAAAATGATTAATACGCGCCATAACGCGAAAAGTAGTTCAGACATTGTTAATTGGTTACTTGCAATTTTGACAAAATATTACAAAAAATTAAAAACACGAAGTTAGTTATTCAATATGTGTTTTTTTCGTAATTTTGGTTTTATTTTAGTACAAAAATTTTAGAGATTGAAAGAGTTTTGAGAATATAGTGGTACATGTATATTTGAGCCGTGTCACGACAAAACCAACATAATAATGGGTTTGCGACCAGCATAGATCCAGACCAGCCTGCGCATCCGCGCAGTCTGATCAGTATCCATGCTGTTCGCTATCAGTTTCTCTACTTGTTATAGGGTTTGTAAACGAACAGCATGGATCCTGATCGGACTGCGCGGATGCTGAGGCTGGTCTGGGTCCATGCTGGTCGCAAACCCATTATGTTGGTTTTGTCATGGCGCGGCTCATTTTGTTTGATTTGACAGAGGGTGAATGGTCTATTCTCAATCCCTCTTGCCATTGTACCCTTACGCGGGCTCTGTAATTTTAAATAGGTTAGTTAAATATGTTTGTAATATAAATGAATGTTAAAATACCGCTGAACAATAATTTTGTTTAAAAAATTATTTTATTACTTGAATCCATTTTCTCATTTTTCTTACGTATTTACAAAGGGTAGCTATAAAGCTATCGGATTTTTTTCGTAGAAATGTATATTCAAGATCCTTATACCGTTGCACACTGAATTTCTTCTTTTTTTTACAAATAAAACAGAAAAGAAAAAAAGAAGGATCAGATTTTTACAAAATGAATCCATTTTCGGACGGACGGACGGACGGTTTGATTAATGGACATTCCGAAACAAACACTCGCACTGACGGACAGGAATACAAATAAATTATTGTTTATCTTTGTTGACTTATTTATGTTGATAGTTTTGTTATTATTCTTTACAGATTTTCAGATTCATTCATGTAGGTATATTTAATAAACACGAGGTTTAACACTAGAATAGTTTATTACATTGTAGATATATACTAGACTAAGAATTATTAATTAATGAATGCATTTTCATAGAGTACTCACCTTGGCGTCAGTGTCAGCGTCACACATTGATTGACTCGTAAATGCACAGTATATTACTATGCATACTATATAATTATAGTCAATCAAAATGTGTTTTAACCCGACTATTTGAAAAGTAAGGAGAGCTATTGTACTCACGTCGGCATCGGTGATGCTGTCGGTGTCACACTTTTGTCAAGTTTTTCGTGCAAGTTGTATCTCCAAAAGTACTGACGGGAATGGGTTGAAACGCCGCACACTTATTTGAGAGACTCTGAGCACAATAGAAGGTCTCTGTCCAAGACCCATAACTCTAAAATTGATTTTGACAGAATTATGGCCCTTTTTGAACTTAGAAAATTCTATATTATGCAAGCTCTTGATTTACTCAAAAACTGAGAATAGTCGAGCACGCTGTCCTACTGGTAGATCTTGTTTAAGGTAACATTTTTAAATCTAGGTCACTATGTTAGTAGCATTAATACATCTAGGTCACTATGTCACTAGTATTGAAATACCTAGATCACTTTGTCAGAACATATTAACATGGGTTCACTAATCCACTAACCTGGTGCCTTGATGTCTTCCAACTGAACCAAAACAGTATGTTTAAGTTTATCTTAATATTTGAAATAAAAGAAAAACTAACAATATGGTGTGTTTTAGTTACAGACAAATGAGTTTTCTTGTAATATATATTTAAAATATCTTTTATAGTTCGTACATAAAGTGAATTAAAATATGTTTATCTGTTTTTAAACATCTTTTTCAATTAATTATTTTGTATAACCATACGATGCACTTAGTGTTAAGTTACCTAAATTCTACTTTCTTTTTAATAAGTTTTTAGAAGACAATGTAAAATGATCACCCATGACAAGATTACTGTTAAAGTATCCTTCGCGAAATAAGCGTTGCAAAAGAAAATGTAACTCAATTAAATTCAGCTTTTAATTTCAAATCATTTCAAACTTTTGCGAGGGCTGTTAAAAAAAGTTCGCATATTATTATTATGTAAAATATAGATAGCCAACCAATACATATAGTTTATAATATCTTGCCATATATGTAATATGGTATTTCACGTTTTGTAATTAATATTGAAATCCGTACTTGAATATTAAATATATAGTATATTTACCAACATAATTATGCATGTAAACATACCCTGCGGAACTTTTACATCATTTCATAAATCTAAGAATAAATTATTATCAGTCTTTTGATAATCTTAGCGATACCGCGGCCATACACGTACGTACGATCGCTTTTAACCACGTTTCTTCCTGCAATGTGACACTCGATAGCTGTTCATCGATTGTCTTCAATTGAAGTTTCTCACTTTCTAGAACTCTAGCCACTTTGTAAACAAATAAATCATTGCTCAAACATTAGGTTGATAACTCATTTATGGTGTTTTATCGAACTGTGCACACATCTTTGGTATTGTATGCAATTTGATGTTATTGCACGCTATTTGATAATGTTATAATTATTAACAAAATGTCATGCACATGTAAATGATTTGTGATAAAATGAATTATTCTGAAGAGTAAGCAAAATAATGGAGTCCAGCAACATGAGGTTTCTATGATTTCAAATAATTTAAGTATACATACTACATGATTCGTAAGTAGAAAGAATTACATGACACGTGATTGCATGCGTGCTAATTTTGATCGAATTTGATATAAAATAATATTCATAAGTATGGATTTTTACGACCTAATTCCACGGTTTTTAGCAGCCCTCATATAATGACTGTAATTCTTATTAGTCACAGTCGCTGTCATGAAACATTTCAATCACACACCCATAATACTTTTGATATTTGATTGTAAAGCATGTGAATATATCATATTCATAATTCATATCATATTGTCATATTTTATTAAACTGGGTACAGAGCCAGTATCACACTTTTTAAATCATACTCTGCACATGACTTTATAGCCGGGGAAAGGCAGTTAATATTTGATTTTATTGTCATGTTTATATTTAATGTAATATTGATTCTTTTCTGTTCTCAAGAAATTTGAACTTAAGATATATATTACACGTATTACAATTTCTGATATACTGTAATTATGCTATGCTCTGGTAAACGCAGGTTTTAATCATTTACATTTAAGATTTTTACGAATATTTTGCTTCAGATTTCCTAGACTGCTATCTCCACTTGAAGTTAACCAATGCGTGGACAGAATCATGCAAGCTGTATTGACCAATCAAATCTTCGTTTGCATACCAAGAATCGTTTATTTCTTTACTGCGCTGAAAACGTAAGTCAATTTCCAAGATCTTAGATTAAAAAAAACCCATCAACCACAGGTTTTCAATTGTTCTTTTTATAGCTTTAAAAGTTCGTTTTAAATAATTCTCCAATGAAAAGTTAAAACAGTTGATGAAGCTAGCGTTTCTAAATGTAGACTGTACTTTAAAAGATATGCCTCTGTTGTTTTGTTGTTGTTTTTTTTAAATGTTATTTAGAAATGTTCGTGACTCTTTATATTAATAGCCTCCCGTATTTTTCTAGCGTTTTACCGGTGACAGCAATGAACGCTCTCGTAAAATATCTCGGAGCAGCCCAGTTTATGGACACGTATGTTGGCAAACCAGAATCAAGGAATACGGACATAAACAATACTTTAGTTGAAAATGGTAATGACAATCTCCCAAGGGACTCGGATCGTGTTGATGTTACGAGAAAGAAAGATATTTGAGTATTTATTTTTACAGAATTGAAATGTTTGTTTACAGATGGTGCCTTAACATATTGTTTTGCTTCTAAATATATTGTTGATTTTGTTATTGTAGCTCATGTTATTTAACCGTTTTGTATTCTATCAACTGATTGACACGAATGAGTGCACTCTTTGGTCGGCAATATAACATTATAAGATTTTTAAGATCGTTGTTTTCCTACAAGTAATAATGGCAATTAATACATATCGAGAAAAACTCATATTACACACTTTGGTTGCCTCGCATTCAATACCAATATAATGCATAAATTGGTTTTATTCCTTATTCATATGGAAATACAATTTTATTTAAGACTAGTGCTTGTTAATATATCTTTTTTGTAACCGCTTTGAACGTTGAAAGAAAAAAATAAGTATTGAGGCAATTTTGTCTTTTTTTCCCCAGTTAGTTTATGTTATATATAAAGAATATAACAGGAATCGGGAAGGCTTGTTTGACTAGATAAAGTACCCACTTGTTTATTGTGGAAATAACAAGTGCTCTTTTAGATATACATGTACTGAACATTTCGAGAGACTCCAAAGAAGTTAATCAATATTTACATCAAAATACATAAATTTTTATTTTGCTAAATTCACATCAATTGTGATTGATGCGTCTCGGTTGTTTCTTGTCAGAAATCACTCTATAGGGAAATGAAATAATGTAGACAACGGGATCAATTGTTATTAGGGTTACATAATATTATACATGTTGTTTGATATTTATTTTGTATTTATAGATGTTCATGAATTTGAATTTTTAAACAGTTTTACTGCAAATAATCATATCGGTGTGTGTATATATAATTATATTATTCTTTAAAAGAACCAATAATTCATGAGTTTAGTTTTAACATGTTTTATTTCGGATGCATTTGTATGAGGGAAGCTAAAAGTTCATTTAACCCTTTTTCGTGATCACCTGATTCCTTGTAAACCAGTTCTGACATTATATCAGGAAACGTGGTTGTGACGGAAATAGGGCTCGAACTAACGGTCCCAGGGTTGAGAGACTGACACCTTTACCACTTTTGTCTGCTCACTTTTGATTTTAATGATAATAAGTCATCCCAAATTCAATATAGGATAAAATTATATTGCCAGTGACTTTCGTTTCTTTCATGTGAGTAAGCTATCCTGCCACCTCACGGAAGGTCGGTGGTTCTATTCAGGTGCTTGTTCGTGTCAGAAAAAAAGCACCAGGAGTGCTTTAAAGCGCAGGGGACTCTGCAAAACCACATATATCAAACACATATAATGCGTATCTTTTCGTCCGACATAACCATTCGTTTATGAATTATCCATACTAAACATAAGAGTATTTATGGACTGACATAGTTTTTCATTTTGTTTTTCGCATGAGAAAGTTTGTTTTTCGTTTTTATATTTTTTATGACATTATTCAGCATTTTTTTCAAATGGTAATCTTTTGAAAGATCTCATCAAAATAATTATACTTTTTATTTATTCACAAAAGTAGTATAGGCGTCTTTACGCCTATACTACTCACAAATACTTTTTAAAGGCCTTTTTATTGTATCTGGATTTTTTTTAATGCAATGCATTTAAAAATATATTCTTTTTATTGTGCCGTATTGTTATGTAATTATCATTTGCTGAAATTAAAGCAGTCATACTTAAAATGTAATTGTGTTTGTTTGTTTTTTAGATTTTTATTTGTTTGTTGATTTTTCATTTGTTTTTGTTGATGGGTATTTTGTTAGTATATTGTTTTACAGCACTGCTAGTGTGAGTCCATATTGCTCCATTGTGCTCAGTTACAGACGTTGAGAAACACCATGTTAAAACCAGTGCCATTCTGGAAGCAAATTTTGTAGCTCGCTTTCACAAAAGAAGTCTGTGCCTTTGGGGAGACGCCTCTTGTACTCGTGGATAGGAGCAAATTATTTTAAAACAGACGTGCCAGGGCAAATGATTTTAAAACAGACGTGCCAGGGCAAATTATTTTAAAACAGACTTGCCATGGCAAATGATTTTAAAAATGACGTGCCAGGGCAAATGATTTTAAAACAAACGTACCAGGGGCTAATAATTTTAAAACAGATGTGCCAGGGCAAATAATTTTAAAACAGACTTGCCAGGGCAAATGATTTCAAAACAGACGTGCTAGGTTAAATAATTTTTAAACAGACAGGCCAGGGGCAAATGCCATTAGGACATAAACATGTTTTAATTAGCTTTTTTATGTCTTCCTGTCCATAGGCCAGACAGAGTCATTAAAATTGCTGATGAGACTACAAATCTGCTAACTTGCAAATGTACATATAAAATGAAAAACTCGAACTATATATTCAGATTCAAAGTTTTATTTTTAAGGAGCAAAAGCTTTTAATTTTCCCGGCTAGATTTTTTGTATCGGCCCGTTGTCCTATCAACAATTTTGAAGCATTTAGACGTCATCAGTGACGTAACATCAATATTATGTTTTAACCCTTCTTGATCTCAATGGCATTTTATTTAAAAATCTCATTACTATATATCCGATATGAAAGAAAATGGGCCAAAATAAAGTTCGAAAATACTAGCCGGGATGTAGTACATAAGAGCATTATTACCCCAAGTCTAAACGAAGATAGTCTGTACATGAGATATCAATATTTCAGTTTAAGTTCCACATTATATAACAAATATGTAGAGTAACAAAATCACATAATAAAAAACAATCATACTTTCAGTGTTCTTTAGATATGGTTGCCAAGTATGATTTCTACAGTATAATATTGAATTTCTATATCAATGAAGTGTTCATTGTAAATACTTGCTGGAAAAATATACCATTCAAAATATAACTACGTATTTGTCGGAATCTAGCTTTTTGATATTGCTGCCTTTGTTTCTTGACTGAACAAACTGCACTTAACAAACTTCTGGTTACATATTTTCTGTTTGACATACACCATTACACAGCAAATCGATTAGGAGACATAGACACTACACAGATTAAAAAACGTGTAACATAAACTTATTTCAACGATTCGTTGTGATTTTCCTAAAGAAAAACGAATAAAAATTAGAACTAAATCCTATAATTTATGCTTATTCATAGCCAGATGTTTTCTTTTGAGTATACAATTAACATAGTTCAATTTTCAAAAGTGAATATAACATGTCAGCTACTGAAAATCTATTTTTTTTTAAGAAAGAGATATTCTTTAAAGTTAAAACGCTTTAAAAAATAAATAATAATAACGATATACAAAATTTGAAACCAACACATAAATTTATGAAAAAAAATAAAAAAATCGAACAACCTAAGACACACCCCGAATAGTGGCAGTGATGTTTTATATTTTGAGCCATTTCTTTACTTACTGCTTAGCCTTTATTTAAAACTTTGATTCATCTTTAACATGATTTTTTGAGAAAATCTTAATTCGAAAGAAAAAAGAAAATGCTGAAGGGAAAGGTTTTAGCCAACATTATGTGTACAACGTTGATTTCCTTAAAATTCTCGCCTCAACTGAACACTGTTTAATTCCGGTACCTACCCGTACCAAAATTTCGTAACCTTGTATCACAGATAATGAAAAAAATGCGATTTTCATAAGGACAAATGTAGTCCAAATGTACAATAAATAAAAGACAACAGGTTTTAAGTTATGGCAATAAATAGATAACTAATAACAGATCATATCGCCCCCTAACTTCCTACGCCGTCTGTCACTGTAAAATTGGTGTTCCATTTTCGCCATTGCCGTTCCTATGTCAGTATTTACTCGATTTCCATAGTTACCAGAATTTGTGTTAGGAACATGATCGGAGAACTGAGTTGACTTTTCGGGTAAAGGTTCCGGTTCTTTAACGTTCCCCTGAAAAAAAAGAAAATGATCTTAAATGATGTTTTACTGATACGATGGAATTTCGGGATGGTAATTTTGCTGAAATTAGAAACGCTTTCTGTTATAATTCAGCTTAAGATTAATATATTTTTTCGGTTCTTTTTTTAACATAATAGTGGCTATATAAAGGGAGACAATCAATTGATACTCTTTGGAAGTCGTACTTGCATTAGTTGCTTCCCTTTATTTGCTTAATAAGCTAATATTTGCGTCATATTTTTTTCTTTTAAACTTAAACATTTCAAATCGAGACCATACAAAAATTTAAGCAATCAGTTGCTGTTATAGCCATGCATCAAATCTTCACATCCATGTTACAGTTTAAGATTAAAAGAAGCAATGTTGGTGTTATTTCAAAACAGCTTTAGCTTCACCGACAAAAGTCTGTTAGCAGCAATAACATTGCGTGATTGTTTTTCGCCCACGCTTAACTCTGAACTATTTTACAGTTCACTTATTTTTTGTTTTAAATTAGTTCTCTGACTTATAAGATACTTTGCAAAGTAGATTGGCTAGAATAGATTTGATTATAATACAATCATTGTCACATGTCAATTCCAAATACTGAATTCAAAAATGAACTAATTAGATGCTATTTACAGTTCTTGAAAGCATCTCGGCTATTAGAAATGTCTGCGTTTGGCTTTCTAATCCGAAGTTTGACGGATGTAGCTTCTCGGCAATCTTCGTTTTATTCCGGTAAAACATGATAATCATAAACAATCACAGAATCACCGTACAACAAATTACTGGGAATCACAAGGAGGTTGGGGATAGATATAAATATAAACATGTTTATATATTGACACCCGTAATACCACAAAAAATAACAACTTCCACTTCATATACCATTCACTTCCACCGAGCTAATGTACGAAACTTTCAAAAACAAACACACATACATTAGATGGACATGGACACAATGCACGTCTGCTAAGACCCTTTGACTGTTGATGTTTTAAGTTTTACACATTAAATTTCAAAACATAAATACTCAATACCAAACAATATATATTACATACAGTATTGTATTATCAAACAAGTCAACATTTTGTTAGAACTAAAGAAAATGAGCCGCGCGCTGACAAAACCAACATAATGGGTTTGCGACCAGCATGGATCCAGACCAGCATCAGGATCCATGCTGTTCGCTATCAGTTTCTCTACTTGTCATAGAGTATGTAAGCGAACAGCATGGATCCTGATCAGACTGCGCGGATGCGCAGGCTGGTCTGGATCCATGCTGGTCGCAAACCCATTATGTTGGTTTTGTTGTGACGTGCCTCAAATATTCTAAACAAACCCTTACAAACATTCCATTTGCGAATTTACAAATGTTTACACAAAACGTCATTCTTGCATTGTTTAGTTTTTTTAAAAAAAGGTAATGTTGTTTCCTGCAATATTCAAAATGCATTCAGCCAAAAATACAAAATCTAGAATTAGTCATCAGTATTGATGGGCCTTTAAGTGACTCTAAATTTAGGATATATTTCTTATCTTAAAGGAACGACCACACATTTGTACATATTGCTGATTTGAGCCGCGTCACGATAAAACCAACATAATGGGTTTGCGACCAGCATGGATCCAGACCAGCCTGCGCATCCGCGCAGTCTGATCAGGATCCATGCTGTTCACTTACAGACCCTATAACAAGTAGAGAAACTGATAGCGAACAGCATGGATCCTGATCAGACTGCGCGGATGCGCAGGCTGGTCTGGATCCATGCTGGTCGCAAACGCATGTTGGTTTTGTCGTGACGCGGCTCATTTATAAGAAATGCAAGTTTTGTGTCAACATTTCATTCAACAATAAACATTTCACAGAAACACTTACTTTGCTCCCGGCTAGAATCTAAAATTGGCATTATGATATTTGTATGTTATTGACCCGAATAAACAACATGAAAGATTAATTGAAAAACAAATAAGGAAAAACACTTAAGATCAGTCGAGCAATATGCTCAATAAATCCTTTTTTATAGCTATTTAAGTCTTGTAAAAGAAAACGGTTGTAAAGCTTAAAAAATCTGTTTCCATTTTCTAAAATTAATGTTTGCAAGCAGTTGATAAAAGATATGTAATCGAATCATACAAATTTATAAAAAAGAGAACTGAAAAATCGCCATTTTTAAGGTATATAACATTGTTTTAAAAAGATTTAAAAAAAATAGTAATGTTTTGTAAAATATAAATACGAGGAAATTATTCTTATCGTATTGAAACAGATTAAAATAACAGACAATCGGTTGCTTAGAAACCCTTTGCAACTACCATAGAGCCAGGCCAGTTTGCACAGTCGTGATATCTGACCAAGGCTCTATACTGCTTGTAGATTTAGCTTTTCGTACTTTGATATTAAAATACTTTAAAAATGAACGTTCAGAACAGGGAATGTACATTAAACGTCAGAAGGTTAAAGGTCAAAACTTTACTACACATGACTTTTACTAAAATCATACACAAAGATTCATAATTCATCATTCTGAACGAAATAATCTTTATTTAGAAAATTTAAAATAGAGAGAAACGGAATCCTTCATATTTTTGTTACATATAGAATAGAATTATATCTAGAACAGTAGATCTATATATAAAAAAATTCACAAAACTAGAGATTACCTGAGCATCAAACTCGGCTAAAAAGCCCCAACTTTCTTCCCTGGAAGAAAAAAAAAGAGAAGAATTTAAGTAATGGACACTAAACATTTCAAATAAATGATTAAGTAATAATTTTTTTATCATTAGACAATGCATAAATTCAAGGAAACACATCTTTAAGAGAATAATAATTATATACTTCTTTGCAGTCTTTGCTTTCCTGTTGCAAGATCGTTTATACTCCAATGCATTTACTTTAATAGACAATAAATGAGCCGCGTCACGACAAAACCAACATAGTGGGTTTGCGACCAGCATGGATCCAGACCAGCCTGCGCATCCGCACAGTCTGATCAGGATCCATGCTGTTCGCTGTCAGTTTCTCCACTTGTAATAGAGTTGGTAAGCGAACATTATGGATCCTGATCAGACTGCGCGGATGCGCAGGCTGGTCTGGATCCATGCTGGTCGCAAACCCATTATGTTGGTTTTGTCATGACGCGGCTCAAATAAGTCTTTAACGTCTACTAACAACGTTACTATGACGCTAATGACGTTCACACCTAACATAGACGTCGCTTATCGGCTATTTAACTTTTGATGCGGAGGAATTGACCACGAACGCCAAAGCAAATGAATCAAACAAAGTCAAGAACTTTACAATGCAACATTCTACCTCTGCTAAAACGATTACGTTGTAATTAAGGTTAAGACATGCACGTAAAAACAAAACAACTTAATATCAAAAAGGAACAGTCGTGATTGGTCTGTAAATAAGTAAAAGAATTTGCCTTTGATACTCCACATATGTGATGAGAAGATGGATAAAAGTATGGATAACTTACCAATTTTTTAAACATCTTCTCTCCGTGCCTACAGCTTGTTTCCATATAGTGTCTTGTGAGACCTGGTCACAGTTGCTGTATTCAGCCTCTCTGTAAGACTTAGTCTCTGGTGGCAGTTGTCGCTTCTCCGCTGGTATACAGCTGTCGTGGTATTGACTGAAATACATAAAAATGTCGTGAAAAACGTGCAAATTTTAAAAGAGTGTTTACATATGAGCCGCGTCACGACAAAACCAACATTGTGGGTTTGCGATCAGAATGGATCCAGACCAGCCTGCGCATCCGCGCAGTCTGATCAGGATCCATGCTGTTCGCTTAGAAACCCTATTACAATAAGAGAAACTGATAGCGAACAGCAAGGATCCTGATAAGCTCGCGGATGCGCAGGCTGGTCTGGATCCATGCTGGTCGCAAACCCATTATGTTGGTTTTGTCGTGACGCGGCTCATATTGATTTGGATTGCGACATCGGTATTAAATGACAATAACAAAACTGAAATTATGAGAGATTTGATGAAAAATTTGGCATCTAAATAACGAAAGTGTAAGTTTAAATGACAAATATTTGCACGAAGGCACGTCGTTAATGACAAAAAGGTGTACGGTCCTGATTCACTAATCGAGGTGATGGGTGGGTAGGAGTTGGATTGGGGGAGAGTGCAAGAAAAATTAAAATATTTGTGCGCCGCCGGGAATCGAACCCGGGTCGCATGAATGGGAATCTTGCATGATACCACTACACCAGCGGCGCAGTTAATATTACAGTTATCTATAAATCATAGGATACTTTAAGTTTTATCTCTGATAACATGTTGATATATACGGTAACGGGTAACAGCTTGAAGGTGTTTGTTATTGAATAAAACTACACCTATTACTAAAAATAGAACATTCAAGGCCCATATAGCAAACTCTCTGGTTGTAAATGCATTGCATGATAGTATTTCGATGTCCGATTTGCAGCTTTCTTGCACGGAGGTCCTTATACGTGATTTTTATGAAAGAAATTTAGTATTGAATTATATTTAAGTTATTTTAAGATTTTAGTTTGCATCAAGCAATACTATAAGTTATAGTTAATCATAGAAATTTTATTGAAATGAAAAAATATATAATTGCGCCGCCCGGGAATCGAACCCGGGTCGCAAGAATGGGAATCTTGCATGATACCACTACACTAGCGGCGCAGATGATTATGATTGTAAAACTTTAAAACTTCAGATTATCCTACACCGCACTCATCCAGTCATTGACTTGCAGCAGAGCAAAATAGAATGCACGGGAAATTCGTGCGCCACGAAATTGCACGTAGTTGATTGTAATGTATCTGAGTGTAAAGGTAAATTAGTATTTCATATATTGAAAATAGAATATGACTTAAAAACAATGTCATATGGATCGAAATGAAATGATACTATATACGGCCATAATGTGAAAATGTTAGTATCAACGTAATAAATAATTAAATGAGCCACGTCATGACAAAACCAACGTAATGCGTTTGCGACCAGCATGGATCCAGACCAGCCTGCGCATCCGCGCAGTCTGATCAGGATCCACGCTGTTCGCTTACCAACTCTTTTACAAGTAGAGAAACTGATAGCGAACAGCATGGATCGTAATCAGACTGCGCGGATGCGCAGGCTGGTCTTGATCCATGCTGGTCGCAAACCCATTATGTTGGTTTTGTCATGACGCGGCTCAAATTAGTCAATAGAAAAAGCCTAGTATTGATCTATATCATAATCACAGTCACCGTCATTATGAAACTCAAGAGGTAATTCATCTGCATTGATCATCATCGCCCCCCCCCCTTTAGCATCATCACTGTTATCATTAACATTTATTCTTCTCCTTCTCCTGATCATCATGATCACCATCATCAGCATCATCATCATCATCATCATTAGTATCATCATCATCATCATCATCATCATCATCATCATCATCATCATCATCATCATTAGTATCATCATCATCATCATCATCAGTATCATCATCATTAGTATCATCATCATCATCATCATCATTATCATCATCACCACCACCACCACCATCATCATTATTATTACCGTCGTCGTCAACAACGTTATCATCTCCAAGTTTGACAATGTTAACACGTATCTTCATAGGAACATAATAAAACCTATCTTTATGACATTCCAATTATACCCTATATATATTTGATGAATGATTTATAACCATAATATTGCTACTGCATATCAATGATTCACCAAGCTATTCAACCTGATTTACTACAACACCGACGATATACAAACAAACACGGCTTGTTGCTACCTGCCTGTACACCGCCAGAAGTTTAACAAGGTTTAATTCACCTTATATTGATACTGTATTGTATTTGATCCTAGTCAAAAGCTAATAAAATGTTCACTGTGAAATACTGGGTATCGCAGATCGATTTTTCTTTTTCCCGTGTTATTAGGTCTTTATTACGGTCTATTATATTTATGAAAGGAAAACGTAGTCCATATAAAGCATTTTATGTGAAAATTAATGCATTTTATGAGGTAATTGATTCGTTGTGTGTGCAGTTATGACCGACACACGGATACAGACAATATCCCTGGTTGATGAAAATGAATATAAATGAAAAATATTGGTCTATTGTTCTGGCAGATGCAACGAAAATAAATGTTAGTTATAAAAAAATGACGCAAGTATCAGTTTAGTTCACAATAATTATTATCTGAAAATAGAAACTGAATTAAAAATAAAAATACGTTTCAAGTGTTTATACAATCTTTTAAGTGTATTGTAACATTGATGAGAAGTTTAAACAGAATTTTATTTAAAAGTACAATATAAAAGTAAAATGAAAGTATTCTTTTTTGTCTAGCATTTTATTGTCACTTTTAGTTTAATTAAGAATCGTTTTTTTACTGTGTGTACACATTAAAGCTGAATATGATTACAGCTTGAAACTTTTGAATCATGTTTACCTAAGTCAATGAGGGAGTTACTCAGGTTTTGGGTAGTTCTCTGGCATCCTTTCAAACATCTGGCTTTACACTAAAATTGCATTTTATATACAGCTAGAATTATTCGTGTTTATTTATTATATGTTAAAACCAAATATAAATCATGGCATACAACAACAACAACAGCATCAGCAACAACAATAAGATTCAAATAGTAATAACTAAGAGAAACAACAACAATATTTGAGTGCTTTTTGTTAGAAACAAACTTCCCACATTATAAACTCAGTAATGTCCAAACGCTCACCAGACCCATGTATGAAAGTCATAAGAATTTGACAGATCATAAAATTAAGTTTGGATTATGATTAATTTCATTTTATTTCCAGTGGTGTGATATATATGAGTATTTACAAGAATTAGGAAACCATTTATAAAAATTGAAGATACTATTTACAAGAATTGAGTATATACAATTTACAAGAATAAAGTATAAAATTACAATGTTTGAGTAAACCATTTACAAAGAGAATTAAGTATACCATTAACAAGAATTGCGAATCCCCAAAAATTATGAAAAAAAAAAAAACAATAAAAACAAACAAACAATGAGGATACCATAGTCACCATTTACAAAAAGAATTATGTATACTATTTACAAGAATGGAGCGTCCGTACCATTTACACGAATTAAGGATTTCTTACAGCGAACAAAACCGGGTAAAATATCCTTAATAACACCAAAATAACATAAATAAAGAAGTAGAGCTCAAAATACATTCATATATTCCATACAAGATGTTTGTCTTTTTTCTTCTTCTTTTTTTTTTTTAAGAATAAATCGTAAATCTCCTTAAGCACTGTCCTACCTTTTCTGGAAATAACTGAACATCATTCCGCCTATTGGTTTCGGTTCCATTTTCTTTTTGTTTGTGAATAAAAGTTAAAAAAATTTAAAATCCGGCTGCTTTTCACGTTATAAATCTATGATATTTGGATTTCACCACCAATCTAACACTTTTTTATCATTCGAATTTACTTCGCTTTATGAAATAAACAGAATCATGGAAGATTTACACGTTTTATATATTAGATAAATGCGATTAAATTAAATATTCCCCATAAAGGCATGTCAAAATCCAGTTATATTTCCGCTGGTATTCTCTATCTAAAGTTACCGTGCTGACAAGTAAGCCGAAGTTAAATATTTATTTTGAATAATTGTAGTGATAAAATTGATCGTTTTTTTCAATCCATTGTAAAGGCGTCCTTCTATTTTCCCCTTTATTGAAGTACATTAGATTTATTCAATCTTTCTACACAAACTATTCAGTGTTAAACTGATCGATGGATTTCACAGCCGGGGTCATTCAGTTATCTCTCTATTTATTTTAATGTCATTTTAGATGTGAGCGGTTTAATTTTAGAACTAATTCTCCGATTCTAATCAAAATTTAATCGATCGAATTGCAGCAGACGACTAATGCGAGCGTAATCAATTTAAATAATTGAAAGATAGAATAATAAGTTCAAAGGTCAGTAATACGAACACACAGACTGATTTGTCACAGTTTTGATAACATTTAAACTGCAGTCAACCTTTTGCACAAAGACAAGGCTGGAAACATGAGAAATATAGTGGTAAGTGTTTCCGTTGACTTTGTTAGAAAACTAGAGATTATTGTCAATTTAACCTTGACCTTTATACATTGCTGGGACTGAAAGTGATTAGCTTTTGCCACCGGTGTAGAGGTAGGCCAGTCTGCATACCCTTGCAGGATCGATTTCAAATTTTATCTTGATACCCTTAAATTGATAATGATCTGTTCCAAAAGTATAACCTATGTCAGTGCATTAGGTAGGTCAGCCAGCTTTCCAGTACTGGAGTAGATTATTTTATTTGGAGAAACTTTTCAAAATTTGATTCTTCATTTATTGTACATGTGTTAGATCACTTAATATTTGCAAATGCGATTGAAAGGTTTATCTTTCAAATATAGATACGAAAATATGTCTAAAATTGTCAACTGTGTCGGTAAATACATGTACATTACGTCAAGTAATGTTATTTTTAGTCAATGGGTGCTGAGGAGTAGTTTTGTTTGAAGTTGATATTTATGATTATATCACCATTATTGGCAAGACAAATAAGACGAATGTCTGTGATCATTATATACTGAGTCCTAGGAGAGAACTTTACATATTTCCAACTTC